AAGTATTCGTACATTTGGAAGGGTAAATCCTTTCGATGTGTTTAAAACAGATAAAGTTTCGAGGAATACTGTCCTTTTCCACAATTCATTATTTCAAGATCACTAACTTTTTGTGTGTAGTATATTACATAAAACTCACCAGTTTAGTATAATCCTGTGTCGATCTCCCACTCCTCTGTCCCACCCACAAGATACTTTCACAGTTAGCGAAACTGGTACTTTCCGTGATACAGCACGAAGACCTCAAGCGGACCTGTCATGACGGCGTCCAGGAGGTTATGCGAATTAGTCGGCAAATAATCCTGTTTCTCTTACGCTGAGGGGAATGAAGGGTAGACACTATTTTCCTGTTTTCTCGCCTCGAACACAACGAACTTCAAAAAAATATTTACGAAGGTGGCTTTCATTCATTGAACGTTCGTCTTGCCATATCCAAAAACATTCTTCCATCACCAATAACAGACGTGTCACTTATGATTTTGTCGTATGCATGCTGCACGTGCGCTTTCGCTTTCTCGTGATCATGTGACAGATCGCATTTTCATCTTATACCGCGTTTCCTCTATTGTTTCACTGTAACGCTTTCCAATGTTTATAATTGTTTCTGGTATTTACACATCACTTTTTTTTCATTTATGCCGTTTTTAAGTTGGATAAACACCTTCTCGGTTTTGATCGAAAATATATAAACTCGGGTTGGGGTTTATCCTTCAGATATAAAATTGCCAATCTGGACCCAAGTTCCAGCCAAAGAGAATATAACCCCTCTAACAGATAAAGCGATGCGAGCTTCGGTTCTGGGGTAATCGAGTTTATGACGCTAAAAGATTTATGTTTGACTGACATTGTAAAATATTAGAGGAAATAATGTATTCCTTTCAATAAATTTCAAGTGTATCCTGTTTCATTTGTCATCAAATACATCTAACAAATATCGATTTCTAAACAGCACGTTCAGTAATGTCACAGTTGTCTCTATATATAACTTTAAATGACTGAATGAATGTTATTTGCTCATCGCTCAAGTCAGTAATCACAGCGTTCTGTAAATAATCGGATCTGGACCAGGCAAACCAGTGATTGAAAAGCCATTGGGACACGACTGACTGACTGAGTATGGTTTTACGCCGATTTCAGCAATTCCATCAATATCACGGCGGTGGACACCAGAAATGGGCTTCATACATTGTAACCATGTCGGGAATCGAACCCGGGTCTTCGGCGTGACGAGCGAACGCTTTAACGACCACATTCAGCAGTCATACAGCACAGCTATTCGACCCAATTTAACCACCTTGAAGATCATTGTGCCGTTGGACAAAGCGATCGGAGGGCTGAGGTGATCGTAACTCCCAAACATTAGCTTAGACTTACGACAAGTAAATAGTTTAATATTTTCATTTTAACATTAATGACAGTTAACATTTACAAACATTCATCAAATTTCTCAGGCTGAAGGTACTTAGTTCGGTATAACTGCCATCTACCTTTTATTTGTATTAACTCATTCGACAACAATACAACTATTTTACAAACAAAATCGGGATATGTTGATTACCAGTAGATAATTGTTGAGAGGACTAAGATAGGATGTACCGTTTGTTGTACGACGCTGCACTCACTGTAAATAATTGAGTCTGGACCAGCCAATCCAGTTTTTATCATTACGAGCATCAATCCACGCAATTGGGATAAGATTTGTTTGTTTGTTGGTGTTTAACGCTGAACTTAGCAATATTCCAGCTATATGACGGCGGTATGTAAATATTCGAGTCTGGACCAGGCAATCCAGTGATTGATATCATGAGCACGCAATAAGATGACATGCATAATCCAAGTCAGCGAGCCTGACCACCCGATCCCGTTAGTCGCCACAAACGACAATCATGAGTTCCTGAAGACCTTTTCCGAAGATCTTATCGGTGTATCCGTAGTTGGTGACAGGGAGATGGTGTACCGTGGTCGGGGACGGATATAATATACTGCAGTCGGTTGAAGGGAAATGATGTGCCGTCGTCGGGCACAGCGAGATGGTGTACAGTGGTCGGGGACAGAAAGATGATGTACCGTGGTCGGGGACAGGGGGATGATGTACAGTGGTCGGGGACAGGGAGATGATGTACTGTGGTTGGGGACAGGGAAATGATGTACTGTGGTCGGGGATAGGGAGATGATACTATGGTCGGGGACGGCGAGATGGTGTACAGTGATCGGGGACAGTGAAATGATGTACAGTGGTCGGGGACAGGGGGATGATATACAGTGGTTGGGGACAGGGTCATGATGTGCAGTGGTCGGGGACAGGGAGATGATGTACTGTGGTCGTGGACAGGGGGATGATGTACCGTGGTCGTGGACAGTGAAATGATATACAGTGGTTGGGGACAGGGTCATGATGTGCAGTGGTCGGGGACAGTGAAATGATGTACAGTGGTCGGGGACAGGGGGATGATATACAGTGGTTGGGGACAGGGTCATGATGTGCAGTGGTCGTGGACAGGGAGATGATGTACCGTGGTCGTGGACAGGGGGATGATGTACTGTGGTCGGGGACAGGGGGATGATGTTCAGTGGTCGGGGACAGGGGGATGATGTACAGTTGTCGGGGACAGGGAGATGATGTACCGTGGTCGGGGACAGGGAGATGATGTACCGTGGTCGGGGACAGGGAGATGATGTACTGTGGTCATGGACAGGGAGATGATGTACTGTGGTCGGGGACAGGGAGATGATGTACTGTGGTTGGGGACAGGGAGATGGTGTACCGTGGTCGGGGACAGGGGGATGGTGTACCGTGGTCGGGGACAGGGAGATGATGTACCGTGGTCGGGGACAGGGAGATGATGTACTGTGGTCGGGGACTGGGAGATGATGTACTGTGGTCGGGGACAGGGAGATGATGTACCGTGGTCGTGGACAGGGAGATGATGTACTGTGGTTGGGGACAGGGAGATGGTGTACCGTGGTCGGGGACAGGGGGATGGTGTACCGTGGTCGGGGACAGGGAGATGATGTACCGTGGTCGGGGACAGGGAGATGATGTACTGTGGTCGGGGACTGGGAGATGATGTACTGTGGTCATGGACAGGGAGATGATGTACTGTGGTCGGGGACAGGGAGATGATGTACTGTGGTCGGGGACAGGGAGATGATGTACTGTGGTCATGGACAGGGAGATGATGTACCGTGGTCGGGGACAGGGAGATGATGTACTGTGGTCGGGGACTGGGAGATGATGTACTGTGGTCGTGGACAGGGAGATGATGTACTGTGGTCGGGGACAGGGAGATGATGTACTGTGGTCGTGGACAGGGAGATGATGTACCGTGGTCGTGGACAGGGAGATGATGTACCGTGGTCGGGGACAGGGAGATGATGTACCGTGGTCGGGGACAGGGAGATGATGTACCGTGGTCGGGGACAGGGAGATGATGTACAGTGGTCGGGGACAGGGAGATGATGTACAGTGGTCGGGGACAGGGAGATGATGTACTGTGGTCGGGGACAGGGTCATGATGTATCGTGGTCGGGGACAGGGAGATGATGTACTGTGGTTGGGGACAGGGAGATGATGTACCGTGGTCGGGGACAGGGTCATGATGTATCGTGGTCGGGGACAGGGAGATGATGTACTGTGGTTGGGGACAGGGAGATGATGCACCGTGGTCGGGGACAGGGAGATGATGTACCGTGAACGGGGACAGTGAAATGATGTACAGTGGTTGGGGACAGGGTCATGATGTGCAGTGGTCGGGGACAGGGAGATGATGTACTGTGGTTGGGGACAGGGAGATGGTGTACCGTGGTCGGGGACAGGGGGATGGTGTACCGTGGTCGGGGACAGGGAGATGATGTACTGTGGTCGGGGACAGGGAGATGATGTACTGTGGTTGGGGACAGGGGGATGGTGTACAGTGGTTGGGGACAGGGTCATGATGTGCAGTGGTTGGGGACAGGGAGATGATGTACTGTGGTTGGGGACAGGGAGATGGTGTACCGTGGTCGGGGACAGGGGGATGGTGTACCGTGGTCGGGGACAGGGAGATGATGTACTGTGGTCGGGGACAGGGAGATGATGTACTGTGGTTGGGGACAGGGGGATGGTGTACAGTGGTTGGGGACAGGGAGATGATGTACTGTGGTTGGGGACAGGGGGATGGTGTACCAAGGTCGGGGACAGGGGGATGATGTACTGTGGTCGGGGACAGGGGGATGATGTACTGTGGTCGGGGACAGGGAGATGATGTACTGTGGTTGGGGACAGGGGGATGGTGTACAGTGGTTGGGGACAGGGTCATGATGTGCAGTGGTTGGGGACAGGGAGATGATGTACTGTGGTTGGGGACAGGGAGATGGTGTACCGTGGTCGGGGACAGGGGGATGGTGTACCGTGGTCGGGGACAGGGAGATGATGTACTGTGGTCGGGGACAGGGAGATGATGTACTGTGGTTGGGGACAGGGGGATGGTGTACAGTGGTTGGGGACAGGGAGATGATGTACTGTGGTTGGGGACAGGGGGATGGTGTACCAAGGTCGGGGACAGGGGGATGATGTACTGTGGTCGGGGACAGGGGGATGGTGTACCGTGGTCGGGGACAGGGAGATGATGTACTGTGGTCGGGGACAGGGAGATGATGTACTGTGGTTGGGGACAGGGGGATGGTGTACAGTGGTTGGGGACAGGGTCATGATGTGCAGTGGTTGGGGACAGGGAGATGATGTACTGTGGTTGGGGACAGGGAGATGGTGTACCGTGGTCGGGGACAGGGGGATGGTGTACCGTGGTCGGGGACAGGGAGATGATGTACTGTGGTCGGGGACAGGGAGATGATGTACTGTGGTTGGGGACAGGGGGATGGTGTACAGTGGTTGGGGACAGGGAGATGATGTACTGTGGTTGGGGACAGGGGGATGGTGTACCAAGGTCGGGGACAGGGGGATGATGTACTGTGGTCGGGGACAGGGGGATGATGTACTGTGGTTGGGGACAGGGGGATGGTGTACCAAGGTCGGGGACAGGGAGATGATGTCACATGGAGTTTAACAGAATAAAAAAATATCACAGTTCCTGATGTTGCATATTAATTTATAACCATTATCAGCTACAAAGGTGAGTGTTGGTTGATTATTCTATTTTATATATACTGTTCAGATATCTAGAATAACCCTGGTTTGTTTTTATGTACGAAACATATTTAAGTTATTATATATATTAAGGATACACAATTTCGAAATGTTTAAGGCTATTTATAAAATCATCTACTAATCTGCTTACTTGGGACACTGAAATACCATGTGAAGTTCATCTTCTAGTATATACGTCCGTAATTCATACAACTTGACTACAACGTTTATGCTCTGAGTAATGTTCAATGAGATAATAATGTCAGTGACGTCTTGTTATAGATCTGTGTTTCTGCAAAAAAGTTTGACTTTGAGGATTATGGTCCATGTGAGCAAATGTCAGGGGTCAAGGTCACGACGGGTCACAAGGATGTGGTGTACCTGCCGTTGTCATCAAAACTTGTCACCACCTGATTATCTATCCCACCACTGGAATTTGCAGCGCCATCAGACAGAAGCGGAGTTTCAAACTGCTCCATGTTGTGATGCCCACCCTCTGTCGATAACTGTCGCTGGGTGTAACCAGCTGTTGAATTCTTGGTATGATCCGGGGTCTCCCCGCTGAGCGATTTCATACGCTCGGAGTCGGGCGTCACTTGGCCGAGATATTTGATACTCCGCGTCTCTGCGTCCGAGTCTTCGATGAGATCCTCTAGAATCTCTTTCCCGGGAGCAGTGTTGAGATCTTTCGGGACGTGGTGAGCACTGTCCAATCTCTGGAAGACCTCTGCTAGACTGACGGCTGACTGACTGACTGGCGGCCATGAGGGATTTCCTGCTATGTCTTCTTCAATGGCAGCGTATTTGGTCTGCGCGGAAGGGAGATAGTTTTTGAAGAAATTTTGACAGCTTTCCCAGAGAGAAGTGTTGTCCACCGCGTAGGTCTGTTCAAAAGGAAATAGAGGATATATCACTTATGTTGTCACCTAAACTGTTTATCTCATCGATTGACCTGACAAAGTTGGAATGCAGGCCACATGCTGAGGAGTATATGTTATTTTTTATGAACCCAGTGGGGATTCCGAGTAGGAACAGATTCCCAGCAACCTACGCTGGTCATAAGGGGTGACCAAATGGATCGGGCGGTCAGGCTCACTTGGTTGATGCATGCCATCTTATCCCGATTTCGTGGATAGATGCCGTCATAGAGATGTAATATCGCTGTGTGTAGCAAACAAACAGACCAAAGAGGTATAAGCCCTGCATCGCTTCAGGATTTCCTCACACATTAAGCTGACACGCTCTGTTTTACTGAAATACTGTACAAAATTCTGTCCCTCACATCGACTACTCACCTCAACCAGGATAGAAAGCAGGCAGTTGAAGAGGGCAATGCCGACGTGCACCATGGCGTAGGGTATGGATGGGAACACCAGCAACTACAACATCAGAGACACAAACAATGTAATCAAGAAAAAACAGCAATTAGCACATTCATTGTCTCTAAATATACAGATATGCCATAAACATTAAACATTTTCAGAGTTGCGGTTATTGTGTATGTGTGCCTGGAAATACTTGTGGGAGCCAATGCCGGTAGCTGGAGGTTTACAAAATATTTTCGAGTTCCAAATCCATTTCAACAACGGTATTCAACCAGATCAGATTAGATCGCACAGTCCCACATGTTATAAAATCCCGAGTCAGGAGGAACCAAGTCACATTTTATTCAGTATATTACGAGACAAACCAGTGATTGAAAATATTAGAAACACCCAGTACGATGACAGCGTTCAAGCATGTCTCCTTAACCATCTTAGTCGCTTCTCACGACAAGTGAGAGTTATCTAAAGCCTGACCCCGGGACCTACCTCAATGATGTCCGCTAGCCCCTGTGGGGGCTGGATCGTCACCCACAAGCAGCCGACAAGACAGATGGCGAGGTTCATGAGGAACAAGTCTGGAACCAATCATAATAACTCTTATCTCAGCTTCAGGAATCCGGAGTAACACTGAATATTCACCTCATGGGTGTTCTTCAACATGTAGAGTGAGTGACTAAGGATGGTTTTGTTTCGCTTTTAGCAATATTTCAGCAATATTGCGGTTTGGGCTATGCCCATTGTATAAACATGCAGGTTATATTGCGTTAAAATAACTAGCCAAACTATTTATGTATGCAGACTTCTCTCCAGCCAGTACGTCAGAACTCATGCCACCTCTTACAAATTGAGTCACGAGGATGGAACCTCCCCCCACCCTTGTTGATGAAAGAATGTCAATGAATTCCGGTATGTTGTCATTTGTTATTATTTCAAATATATTAAAAATATTAACATCTGTTTCAAAGTAAGAAAACAAAATTTGGGAAGAATTCTGTAAATTGTGAAAACTATCACATTTTCCTATCCAATCATGCACAGGTAAACTGTCATGTGTATCTCACAGGCCATTATCTCTGCCACAGCAAAATAAAGCGGTCTTCTGTTCTGAAGATTCCAGCTATTCTTCATTTTACCAGTTATGCCTTCCTAATATTGCGTTCCTAAGCGGCGCTTACTGTTTGAAAACATAGGCTTCCTAAATGGTGCTCCCTTGGAAAAGGCGATGGCTAGAGTGATATATTGATACGAGGAAATCAGAAAGACAGCAGAGTTCTCATAGCTCGCATAGTAGTCGTCCTCGTTGTCTATGTAGGGTACAAACCTGCAACAGTGACAACAGACATGCAACAGTGATGACAAACAGATTAGTATATAAAGTATCAGATTCATACTTGGCACCAATGACATCAGTAGGACAGAGCCTGGAAATTAAAAGTTCAGGGTATGTATCCTTATGGAATGGAATATACTGCCCTGGACAATCGAGGATGGTGGTGGTACCTACCAGGGTTGTCTCAGAACATGGAGGAAGCAGTACACCTGTGTGGCGAGTTGTATCGCCATCTGTGCCAGTATGGACATGATGGGTGCAGCAGCTATCAGACTGAATGGCGGGAGCTCCTTCACCAGTTCTTCACAAGGACCAGTGCGACCGACTGAAACAAAGGACGCAATTAAAGGAGTGACAGTATACCCGGGGCTATGTCAACCATTGAAACCGCCTGATCAACAATCAGTTTGTCTCCTACAAGAATAAAACAGTATGTGGGGACCAATTCCGTCCCGCATCCACTTCTTGGGTACCATGCCATTGTTAGCTATGCCATGATTACCCACATATTGATGGTTGTGCTCTCGACAGTGTTACCATGGTTACCCACACATGAAATAGATGGTTGTGTTACCATCGTAACCTACATGTGATATAGATGGTTGTGCCAACAAGAGTTACCATGGTTACCCACGCATGATATTGATGGTTGTGTCGACAAGTGATACCATGGATACCCACATGTGATAGTGGGGGTTGTGACGATGACAATTATCATGATTCACCTACATGTGATACTGAGGGTTGTGACGATGAACAAGTCGATGAAGAGGAACTCGGGGTCTGTGAGATTCGCTCCGATCTGGTGGACGAGAAGTACAGATTAAAGTTACAGTATACTACCAGGCTGAGATTTTAAAGCGTTGATCAAGTGTATTACTTTCCCTCTTATGATTGTGAGTGTGAGTGAGTTTGATTTTACGCCACTTTTAGCAATGTTCCAGCAATATCACGGCTTCACACATTGTACCCATGTCGGGAATCGAACCCGGGTCTTCGGCGTGACGAGCGAACGCTTTAACCACTAGGCTACCCGACCGCCCTCTTATGATTGTGTTCACACTAACGTATTAGTTAATAACTGAACTTTGCCAGAAAGATGAAATTATTATGATTTTATGAACAATAATTCCAGCAAAATAACGGGAGGGGAATCGAACCCTGGTCTTCGGCTGGACAAGTCAACACCTCAACCACGAGGCTAAAATTACTGTCAAGGTAATCCGAGTTAGATAAGGTCTTCAGCAACCCCTGCTTGTCAACTGGATTGGATTTTCATGAATTTACCGAATAATGTGGTCTGCGTCATGTGAGAATGCAACACTCATACAATTTATACTGACTCCGAGAAGTCCAGTCCATATTTTACCCGTTATGCCGAGTGTACAAGTACCACTGCCAAGTTTCACTTCGGTGGATATATGAACTTAACATAAATGGATGAGCAATGTCCGAAAAGTACACTGTCAACTTGCTGACCCAGTAAAGAAGAAGGACAGAGATGAACTGTGTCAGACTGTAACACGCCATGAACTTGAAGATCCCGAAGGACGTCACCAGTGCGGCTCGGCCCTGCCTGAAACCATGCAGCAATATGTGGTGTGGCACATTCATGCAGGGGTGACTGGTGCATTACAGTCGTGCAGGGATAATGGATGAAGCGAATTCAAGCAGAAATAGTGCATGCAGTTTAAATCATGCATTACAGATCATGCATGCATAAGTTGTGCATTAAAACAAGTTAGGATCAATAATACATTTGAGTGAGTGAGTGAGTCGGGTTTAACGCCGCTTTTAACAGTATTACAGTTATATCGCGGCGTGTCAGCTTAATGTGGGAGGAAAGCCCGAAGTGATGCAGGTCTCAGACGTTTACCACTTCGGTGAAACCCACAAGCACGGGTATGGTGCTGACAAACCTAGAAACATAATCGGGGCTAACCCGGGATTCGAACCCACACTCATTGGTTTCTGGCGTGCCCAAGGGACGCAACTCTGCACAGCGAATCGCGGCGCATTAGACGACTGGGCCACCCGTGCCCCCATAATACATTTGAGCATTCAGGTATCAATTGACTGTAAAAAAAAGTCCAGAGATCGCTTGGACACAAATCCTTTTCTTCCTCTGCAGAAGTATTTTGGAACAAATTGCCACTGGTTCTTAAGACTTCAACTTCTCCGTTTGCTTTCAATTCTGGACTAAAGACACACGCAGATCCGTGGAAAACCCGAATATACACCACACAAACAAAATAACCAAGGAACATGGTTTTGTGGTAACACTGGCAGTTGAAAGTCTAGACTGATGCAACACCTCACTGACATGAAAACAAATACTCAAGTGGCATAATGTGAGGAGTGCCCAAACAGATCCTTCAAAACAATATGCTCAAACATGGATAGGTACATTGTATATTTGAAGAAGTATAGATCCAACGTCACAGACACACGTATCATTGATGCATTAGAACATGTGGCATGTAGGCTTCCCACCTGATGACATTTGGGACACACTCAATGGTGGGCTTCTTGGATGTGAAAGGGGAGGCCACGGAAGCCTCAGCCTCCGACAGAGAGATGCCGGCATGGGCTGTTTTCAGTGCTCCACAGTCGTTCGCCCCGTCACCGCACATTCCCACAAAGTAACTAGAAAAATATAGGTTTTAAAATATGTAGAATACTTCACATGTTTTAATGTGTAAGCTTTATAACATCCACCTATAAAGTAGTATATTTTAACCACTTAAATATAAGTTGGAATATTTCGAAAGTTTTTTTTACGTCTACGCAATATAACTGCCCTCACTTACATAGTAACTGCTAAGTGTTGGTTGGTTGTTGTTTTACGCCACACCCAGCAATATTCCAGCTATATGACGGCGGTCTGTAAATAATCGAGTCTGGACCAGACAATCCAGTGATTGATATCATGAGTATCAATCCACGCAATTGGGATCGATGACATGCCTGACCACCCAATCCCGTTAGTCACCTCTTACTACAAGCATTTAAGTCGCCTTTTACGACAAGCATGGGATGCTGAAGACCTATTCTACCCAGTATCTTCACGGGTCGAGTGAGTGAGTGAGTGAGTGAGTGGTTTTAAACCTCTTTTTACATTATTCCAGCAATATCATTGCGGGGACACCAGAAATTGGCTTTACACGTTGTACCAATGTGGGGAATCAACCTCAGACCTTTGGCGTGATGAGTGAACACTTTACCCACTAGGCTACCCTATCGACCCAACTGAACACTGCACTGAGTTGAAGGAAAGACATTACAGACGCTCGCCCCGTAGGGATTCCAGGTTACAAATGGTCCCCACAAACCTATGCAGGTTGTAAGAGGCGAACATATGGATTGGATGGTCAGGCACGGTGACTTGGTTGATTGCTTGTCACCGAACCCTGATGGCGTGGATTGTTGCTGATATTACCAATCATTGTTTTACCTGGGCAATCTTTGATAGTTTACACGCCCCCGTCATATACCTGGAATATTGCTGAGTGCAGCGTTAAACAAGAAAGACAGAAAGAAAGACGGAACAAAGATAAAAAAACAACCAAAAAAACAACAACAAAAACCGCTCACTCTAATGCCTGCAAGCTCTCCACCAACTGCGCCTTTTGTTCTGGGCCCATGCGTGCAAAGACCGTTCCCTTGACAACGATCTGAATAATCCATAGATTTTCACAGTATGAACAGTTTATAACGTTTAGTTTCTTCAGAGGTTAACCAGTAAGAGATTCACTGTTATCAGGCAAGTGATGTGCAGAGAATGGACAGGCTAAAACAGGCTTCTCCACTCCCATATAACTACATCCCAATCTACTCTACTGTATAACTATGCCCCCTACCTGTGTGTATATATACTTGTCAACCATACTGTGCACATCACTTGCTTGATGACAGTGTAAGAACCTTCACCGAAACGCAGCTCCTGATTGTAATAAAGAAGTTGTTCATCCCAATGTCTTATCGTTATTAGACAATGCCTATGCACAAATGAAAAAAATTAAAATTCTCTACTTTCGAGTTTTATGATCTGCATGCTCGTTGATCGCTGTTTACAAAGCCCACGTGTTGATTTCTTAAACTGTGGAAGGATGTGTCAAATAGATTTTCCTGACAGAAATGTACCTAATTCACATGTCAAAGTGCAAACAATTATGGAAGACTAAAATTCAAAGCGTTTCAAGGCTTTCAACACTCATTTTCAAGTCGTTTAGTCTGTCAACATGCTTTTGAAATGCAGCATGCTATATCAGTACGAAGACCTAAAACACAGTATGAAAATCACTTATTTTCCAAGTAGATCTTTTTTCACAACCAACAAAACAAATTAAATTAAGACAGTCATGAATTTTAATACTTTATAAACATTTATATGCCATTCTGTACACATTCAAGGCTTTTCAAGCTAGTTTGGTGATTGTTAAGGCCTTTCAAGCCTGCGTGAACCTTGATTGTCTGTACAAGGCGCCTACATTGAACCAGGCTCGGTGACTAGCTGGATTGCCTGTCATCATACCCTGGCGGCATGGGAGGATGCGGACAGTATAATCACTGGTGCTCCTGGACCAGCCTCTATTGACAGTCCGCCCTGATGGAGAACTGAGGAATAGAAACAAACTTGTCCTACCTTGGACATGAGGTCGGGGAAATGCTGTCTGATGACAGCCCAGGACTTCCCCGTCAAAGCGAAGTGGAACCTGTCGTTGTCCAGCTGCAGGGCTATGGAATCCTGTAAGTGGACAGTAAGTGAGTGAATGTTGTTTAACGCCGTAGTCAGCAATATTCCAGCTGCATCACGGCGGAAGGGAGACAATGTGAATGAGAGCCATGAAAACCAACTCACTCGCTCACTACACAGGAAAACACAGACCTTAGTAACCAGGTGCTTGAGAAAGGTAAGAGAAAAGTGTGTTGTGTTGTGTTGTGTTGTGTTGTGGTGTGTTGTGGTGTGGTGTGGTGTGGTGTGGTGTGGTGTGGTGTGGTGTGGTGTGGTGCTAACCTAGGACAGCTTACTCCTAGTCACACTTTATACCCATGCAATGGAATCGAACGGGTGCTTTAGCGTGATCAGCGAACGCTTTACCCACAAGGCTATCTATTGCACCTGGAATCTTAAAGAAATGTGGATGTAAAATACATGTACATGCAAAATAATTCAGATTTTGAATCAATTACAATACTGTTTCCAAAATGACCTTGCTGTATTTCTTTTCCGTCTCATCAGCGAAAACAAACTCAATTTCTGGACTAGTGTTGTCGTCCTGCGGCGGGTAGGCTTGGACAAGGACGATACGGTCTGTGCGGTCCACCATACAACACTCCCGGGCCACACTCAGGGCGGTCAACATGTTGTCACCTGCAGAAAACGCCAATGTAATTTCTTTAAAAAAGATGATATGTGCAAACGGTTTCAATACTATTCTGATCTAAAAAAAATAAATGAATTAAAAATATTTTGTTGTTATCAAAGTCTAAAAGTAGAGGCGTGATATAAGTCAGAATAAGCCCTGGCATCTGCCCCACGTCGCCAGATGAGTGCAATAATCTTTCACCTCACTGCATCTGTCCACACTTGAAAAAATTGGACTATTGATCGGACTTTCTCCTGTATGGATGTGGGTACAAAGACACACTAGGCTTTGATGGCGGGCTCCGGTAGCGTCTGGATGACAGGGGTGGTCTGGCTGCACCTACCTGTGACCGTGATGTTTCTGATGGCCGCCTCCCGGAGTGTCTGGATGACAGGGGTGGTCTGGATGACAGGGGTGGTCTGGATGACAGGGGTGGTCTGGCTGCACCTACCTGTGACCATGATGTTTCTGATGGCCGCCTCCCGGAGTGTCTGGATGACAGGGGTGGTCTGGATGACAGGGTGGTCTGGATGATAGGGGTGGTTTGGCTGCACCTACCTGTGACCATGATGTTTCTGATGGCGCCCAAAGTAGTGTCTGGATGACAGGGGTGGTCTGGATGACAGGGGTGGTCTGGATGACAGGGGTGGTCTGGCTGCACCTACCTGTGACCATGATGTTTCTGATGGCCGCCTCCCGGAGCGTCTGGATGACAGGGTTCATCTGGCTGCACCTACCTGTCTCTGGCTTCAGGCAGTTCTCCATCACCAGGAGCCCCAGGAAGTTGAGATCCTTCTCCACCGGCTCCCTACAAGGAGAAGACAACTCTCCGCGGTGAAACAGCCTGCGATCTCATGTTCCGTGCATTACCGTGCATTTCTGATGGCCGCCTCCTGGAGCGTCTGGATGACAGGGGTGGTCTGGCTGCACCTACCTGTGACCATGATGTTTCTGATGGCTGCATCCTGGAGCGTCTGGATGACAGGGTTCATCTGGCTGAATCTACCTGTGACCATGATGTTTCTGATAGCAGCCTCCCGGAGCGTCTGGATGACAGGGGTGGTCTCTGGCTTCAGGCAGTTCTCCATCACCAGCAGCCCCAGGAAGTTGAGATCCTTCTCCACCTGCTCCCTACAAGGAGAAGACAACTCTCCGCGATGAAACAGCCTGCGATCTCATGTCCCCTGTATTACTGCATTTGGAACTCAGTGTTCATTACTTTGTATAAAATCCATTGCAGTTTGTGTTAAACCATCAGAAATATTATCGAGTGCGAGGTTGCCATCTTCATCCGAAAGGAACGTCTTGCGGAATAAATGGTGAACGGTGTCTGAACGGTGTCTACATACTCAGATCTACCTCGGAAAGATTTATGTAAAACCTCATACGACAAATACATCTTTAGCCTTAGTGGCAGTGATGAAATTGGAAGACAAACAAAGATGTCACACGCTGGAAAGGAGCTTGTTCCCATTCGCCACCACTCGCCCCTTTCCGTAACCTGCAAGAAGACTCGATGTCCCCCTATCGATGAATGTTATGTGCAAAAATACCACAAACCTATCAGCATGCGCGTATGACTTCAAGTACTTTGGTCAAAGAATCCCTCAGGAAATTTTTTTGATTTCACATAGAGCTTGCATTTAAACATATACCCAAGATGCAGTTAAATGTATTCAATCATACTGTATAATGCTGTTAATAAGTTACAATGTGTTCTCAATAGCATCTGGAATATATATATACGATAAATTTGGGGACTATCCCCCTGGAAGCCAGAGGGACTATATGTCCCTCCTCTTCAACCCTCACTTTGAAGTCACATAAAATTCAACATACATCACGCACACAAATACAGTTCACAGTTTTGAATTCTGTGGGAAATGCTCTGTTCTGTGATATCATCCGCTGGAATGAGGCAAAGCAAAATAACTGAAAATGACCTTTGAAAATTAGGTACATCGTAAATGTCGCCATCGTCTACACATTACTAAATCACCATTCACAGCGTTATTTACAGAATGTTTCGAAATCTAAGTTTCGGATGTTTACTCGGAGAAATAGATCTAGCGATACCTAGTGATCACGGGTATCTGTCTTTTATCAAATCACCAGGGATCATTCCAAAACGTCGCCGGTAACCCCAGAATCGTATAGAATGTTTTGGAAATACGCAAACACGAACGCCGAAGTGAACTTCCGACATATAGGAAGGCGTTTGTACATAATCACGTTTCACATAATATATGCCGGTAATGAGATGCCTATGACATCACGTATATATTTCAAACTCAGCTGTGATACATTCATCCTCGAGTTCCTCATACAGTTTCGAATTAAATGACAAATGGTCTTTGTCACTTTAAAAAGTGTCTAGATGAAACCATGCACTATAAATATTAGGTGTGAAAACGAACGCAGAGGTTGGAAAACTGCACTTGTTGGAAATGTAAACAAGCAAAATTAATATTTTACAGCATTTTCACCTATTTTGAGCTATCCATTTGTCTATTCGTTGCATACACTGGCTCAATATTTTCAGAATATGCATGGGGAGACAGTCGAAGGAAGAATAAGGGAATTAAAAAAAAGATACATTGCAATGATTTGGTAAATTCAACAGAAATTGTCCACCGTGACGCCATGACTGTCGGAAAATCACGAACAACGACAGCGGTATTTATCGGAATCTCTGACTATTTCTCTTGGTTTCAGTTAAAAACATAACATCAAATAACAGTACACAGATTTTCAGAATGATTCTGATTACTTAGATGTCACATTTATGTTTCTAGTGATATCATACGTCAACTTTGTTGTACATATTTGGTAATTTCTTTGAGGTGCAGACCCTTGAAAGAAAGTACACACGATCATTGTATCCTGCTGTAGAATGTAGATTTTGTATATTTTTTTTGTACATTTTTACACACAATTAATTACACTATGGATATTTATCAATGTTCAATATGATATACGGAGATATAGGCCACAAAATGTATGAACCTTTGAAAATCCACTGTTTGTTTGAACATTGTTTACATGAGAAATGTTTATAGTGTGGTATTCGATATTTCTTTCCTTTAGTCAAGTGTCAGAAGATGAAACTGCGACATGTACTTATTCCTTTGGAGTGTAATAGTCAATATTGTAATAAGATACACTGTAAACTATCTAATGGTTTATCTATCATCTGTCTATATCATTCTCATGGTCGTCTTTCTCCGACGTTGTCATAGACATAAAACCAGTCACGACGTCAAATAAAATGGTGTCATTTTTTTCAGTAATTCATTACATTTGATGAAAAGGCTAGTGCTCCATTTTTAATGGAATGGTGCAATATTAGACAAATTACAATTGCACAATCGGGAAAATGTTGGAATCTTAGGACTATTTAGTAGGTTAGATAGGGCCATCCATTTCGCTATTACTTCCTTTTATATGAAGTATGATTTCATCATTTCTTATAGTTTGTTTTTTTAAAACCTAAACGTATGCATTTTCAATATCGATATTTGTGTTGGAATAATTTGTTTCTTCGTGAACAAAACACCACGAATATAAATTATCCTTATCCACAGCTACTTCTCACCCAGTGACCTGAGTTACAATAACCTGGGGCTAAGAATAGCGGAGTTACAACCCATTTCATGTGCATGTGTGAAACCTCTCTTTAGACGTCATCGAGAAAAATCAGTTTTCGTCATTTACGGCAGGCTATTTTGTGGATGGGATGTATAACGTTATACATAAATGTATAAATCCATTTGATATACATTTATGTCGTTCAGATATTAGGCAGTATTTTGTTCGCTCACAGTTTCCGAAAAGCTGCTTCATGAAAGAATCGTCGCACAGTACTTTTATCGGTGTAGGATAAAAAGCGGAGAAGTTTGCTGTTTTTCAACACAGATTACATTCTCGGACAACACTTAGCAGTGTCTTTTTTTTCAAACCGGTTTAACATTTGCCGTAGAATTTACACCATTAGAAAGGAAATTTAATATTCTACATCTCTGCGTAATTATATCGCCGAAGGTACATGCCTTAACTTTTCAGACCTTAGGGAAATGTGCGTCAGAAGAAAATACACATGTATTCGGCATTATGCGGGATACACAACGAGTTGACAATTTTTTTAACCCAGTCGCAAAAATGGCCACGAGGGGGCACGAGTCGCTTTTCGACTTGTTCCGGAATAACACGTGATGTTCACGAATGGCTTGTTCCGTTAACGGTCAAAGGGAGACAACTCATTCAACGGTTTTACGCACTCATCTGTGTGTTTTGTTGTTAACAATGCCATCACGAGTGTGATTACAGGGGCCACCCACTGACGATTTCGGTTACATTCGGGCTCACGAATTCGGCTTATTCCGTAACCAACAAACTATATTGATACGACTCACTTATTTTGAGGTTCTGTGCCGTTTATGGTCAAAGGGAAGTAACTCTTAATCCTATTTACCATTTCCCGAACAGACTTACCTCCCTTCGGGACAAGGGACATAGCTCTTGATTTGTTGTACGCGGTTAGCTCCCTTTGATTGAGAACACACGCCGTGTGTGAAGTTTTAAACGAGACACTGTGTGGAGTCAAGGCAAGGGAGTTAACTGCTGTAAAAAACACGATTGCCTCCCTTTGACCATAAACAAAACCACCCCAGACTACTAGATCTACGTGGCCCTTTGTGATGTTTATTTTTTCTCTCTGCCAGATCCATTTAGGAAGAATATCCTAACGTGCAAGTTGAGTTTCAATTTACGTACCTAACTTAGCTGAGCTGCAGCGATGATAACGGAAGAGAAATGAAGATGCCGCGCTGAGAAGGAGCTTTGTTCCGTTAACGGTCAAAGGGAGACAACTCAATCAACAGTTTCACGCACACATCTTTGTATTTGTTGTGAGAAGAAAACATGTTGAGTGGACAAGCGTGTGATCACAGAGCCCCCGCTAACGCTTTCAGTTTCATTCGGACTCACGTGCTAGGCTTATTCTGTAAACTACAGACAACATTGATACAACGCACTGGATTTGAGGTGCCGCGCCGATGATGGTCAAAGGGAAGTAACTGTGAATACCATTTACAATTTGCCAAACAGCATTACCTCCCTTTATGACAAGGGACATAACTGTTGATTTGTTGTACACGGTTAGCTCCCTTTGATTGAGAGCACACGCCGTGTGTGAAGTTTTGACCGAGACACTGTGAGGAGTTAAGACAAGGGAGTTAACTCTTGTAAACCAGGATTACCTCCCTTTGACCACAAACCGCACTTCTACCGACCAGCACATCGTCTTTCACGATGTAAAGTTTGGATTTGGCTTGCGATTAATTAATCATGACGTCAGAGCATATTAGTTCAATATCTTGATAATTTCAACCCATATGCTGGAAATTTGGCAGGTCTGCCCACGGTTGTTGACAAATAACCCTGAGTGATATTGTTTTTTTTGTTTTTAATTATTTGAAATACTTAGCAGTTCAGAGGGGCGGGTCACAAGCAATTATATGATAGGTTGAAGTTACTACCGTGTTATTCTCTGGAGTTTGGCATAGTTGAGTTTCTGTGGCAGGGCCTTCCAGGCCAGAGCGATGACCCGGTAGCCATGCTGTGTGTACGCCATCAGTACATCATGGAAGTTCGCTGGTACTGAAACAAAATACAGGCGAGGCTGTCTTAGCGCAAATATTGTCAGATTAGTCTCTTCACGCAACTGTCTTTGTGCTAGGTTAGCTTAAGTGTGCGACAGAAAGAAAGTATTTCATGATTGTAGACATGTTTTAGTAAAATGAATCAAATTTAATCCTATAAATGTTTTCGAAATGGAATAGTTTTCAGCTTACCTAGAACTAAATGGATAAATGCGCTATAAATTTCTTTGTCAGTATGTCAGGAAATATCAAAATTAATTAATCTTTAAGACAACTTTTAACAAGAATTTGTCAGAAGATCTATATGACAAACTCTTGCATTTATATTTTTCCGAATTTTAATTAAACAAAATTATCCCACCCCTGTACCCGTTTCAGCCTTGGATAGACTTGTGATCATCTCGGGTGCTCCCTTCACAAACAGGTCAAAATTGTTGGCACCCAGGTTGCGTGTGATGACCGACATTCTCTGCAGGCTGGAGGAGAAGGTGAACTGTCTCACCACACCGATGTCCTCTCCCATTGGCTGAAATAGTTCAATATATACTGATGGGAAGAAATAAGGGGACAGATACAGATACAAAGTGTAATATGTGCTTGAGACAACCTACCATTAGTAAGCCAAAAACGAGTGGATATGTATGGGCAATGTCATGGCACACCCAACACCCACACTTTACTTTTAGTTTTGTCCATCAGTATATCAATTGTTCAGAAACATGTTTTAAGGTAGTTTTTTTTATAGAAACACTCACATTTCCCTCGATATATTTTTTTCATGACTAATAACATCACTCTTAGTTAAATATTGTTGTTTGAAGATTTCTGGCTTTAGTGAGGTGAACAACATGGATTAAAAATTGACACTTGAAACGCCCGAGGAAGGGAAACATAAAAAAAAAGAAAATGAAGATTATTATCCTCAAGACTGTGCTCCCAGGTCGGTCTTGGATCATGGGTGAATGTACACTGAACGTTGAACCAACTTACCTGATTACCTCCCCTTACGCGAGGATGTACAATAGTCGGCGCCATCATGTCGACCCTTGTCTCCTCCTCACCCGGCTCCTCCAACACCTGCAACATGGAGTGAGTAGGTGGATGGGCGAGTGTGTTGATGAGTGTGTGGATGAGTGTTTGTGGGATGATGTTTGTGTGTGGATGATGGTGTGTGTGTGTGTGTGTGTGTGTTGATGAGTGTGTGGATGAGTGTTTGTGGGATGATGTTTGTGTGTGGATGATGGTGTGTGTGTGTGTGTGTGTGGATGAAGAGTCAGTGTGTGGATGAGTGTATGTGGATGATGTATGAGTGTGTGTGGATGAGTGTGTGTGTGGATGAGTGAGTGTGTGGATGAGTGGATGATGTATGAGTGTGTGTGTGGATGATGTATGAGTGTGGATGAGTGAGTGTGTGGATGAGTGTGTGTGTGGATGAGTGAGTGTGTGGATGAGTGGATGATGTATGAGTGTTTGTGGGATGATGTATGTGTGTTTGTGTGTGGATGATGGTGTGTGTGTGTGTGTGGATGAAGAGTCAGTGTGTGGATGAGTGTATGTGGATGATGTATGAGTGTGTGTGTGGATGATGGTGTGTGTGTGTGTGTGTGTGGATGAAGAGTCAGTGTGTGGATGATTGTGTGTGGATGATTGTGTGTGGATGATGGTGTGTGTGTGTGGATGAAGAGTCAGTGTGGTGATGAGTGTATGTTGATGTATGAGTGTGTGTGTGGATGAGTGTGTGTGGATGATGGTGTGTGTGTGTGTGTGGATGAAGAGTCAGTGTGGTGATGAGTGTATGTTGATGTATGAGTGTGTGTGTGGATGAGTGTGTGTGGATGATGGTGTGTGTGTGTGTGTGGATGAAGAGTCAGTGTGGTGATGAGTGTATGTTGATGTATGAGTGTGTGTGTGGATGAGTGTGTGTGGATGATGGTGTGTGTGTGTGTGTGGATGAAGAGTCAGTGTGGTGATGAGTGTATGTTGATGTATGAGTGTGTGTGTGGATGAGTGTGTGTGGATGATGGTGTGTGTGTGTGTGTGTGGATGAAGAGTCAGTGTGGTGATGAGTGTATGTTGATGTATGAGTGTGTGTGTGGATGAGTGTGTGTGGATGATGGTGTGTGTGTGTGGATGAAGAGTCAGTGTGGTGATGAGTGTATGTTGATGTATGAGTGTGTGTGTGGATGAGTGTGTGTGGATGATGGTGTGTGTGTGTGGATGAAGAGTCAGTGTGGTGATGAGTGTATGTTGATGTATGAGTGTGTGTGTGGATGAGTGTGTGTGGATGATTGTGTGTGTGTGTGGATGAAGAGTCAGTGTGGTGATGAGTGTATGTTGATGTATGAGTGTGTGTGTGGATGAGTGTGTGTGGATGATGGTGTGTGTGTGTGTGTGGATGAAGAGTCAGTGTGGTGATGAGTGTATGTTGATGTATGAGTGTGTGTGTGGATGAGTGTGTGTGGATGATTGTGTGTGTGTGTGTGTGGATGAAGAGTCAGTGTGGTGATGAGTGTATGTTGATGTATGAGTGTGTGTGTGGATGAGTGTGTGTGTGGATGGCTGTGTGTGTGTGTGTGGATGATGGTGTGTGTGGATGGCTGTGTGTGTGTTGATGATGGGTGTGTGGATGATGGTGTTTGTGTGGATGATGGTGTGTGTGTGTGTGGATGATGGGTGTGTGGATGAGTGTGTGTGTGTGGATGATGGTGTGTGGATGAGTGTGTGTGTGTGGATGGCTGTGTGTGTGTGGATGATGGGTGTGTGGATGATGGTGTTTGTGTGGATGATGGTGTGTGTGTGTGTGGATGATGGGTGTGTGGATGAGTGTGTGTGTGTGGATGATGGGTGTGTGGATGAGTGTGTGTGTGTGGATGGCTGTGTGTGTGTGGATGATGGGTGTGTGGATGATGGTGTTTGTGTGGATGATGGTGTGTGTGTGTGTGGATGGCTGTGTGTGTGTGGATGATGGGTGTGTGGATGATGGTGTGTGTGTGGATGATGGGTGTGTGGATGATGGTGTGTGTGTGGATGATGGGTGTGTGGATGATGGTGTGTGTGTGTGGATGATGGTGTGTGTGGATGGCTGTGTGTGTGTGGATGATGGGTGTGTGGATGATGGTGTTTGTGTGGATGATGGTGTGTGTGTGTGTGGATGGCTGTGTGTGTGTGGATGATGGGTGTGTGGATGATGGTGTGTGTGTGGATGATGGGTGTGTGGATGATGGTGTGTGTGGATGAGTGTGTGTGTGGATGAGTGGATGATGTATGAGTGTGTGTGTGGATGATGTATGAGTGTGGATGAGTGAGTGTGTGGATGATGTATGAGTGTGTGTGTGGATGAGTGTGTGTGTGGATGAGTGAGTGTGTGGATGAGTGGATGAAGTATGAGTGTTTGTGGGATGATGTATGTGTGTTTGTGTGTGGATGATGGTGTGTGTGTGTGTGTGTGTGGATGAAGAGTCAGTGTGTGGATGAGTGTATGTGGATGATGTATGAGTGTGTGTGTGGATGGCTGTGTGTGTGGATGATGGTGTGTGTGTGTGTGGATGATGGTGTGTGTGTGTGGATGATGGGTGTGTGTGTGTGGATGATGGGTGTGTTTGTGTGGATGATGGGTGTGTGGATGATGGTGTGTGTGTGTGGATGATGGTGTGTGTGTGTGTGGATGATGGGTGTGTGGATGAGTGTGTGTGGATGATGGTGTGTGTTTGTGTGGATGATGGGTGTGTGGATGATGGTGTGTGTGTGTGGATGATGGTGTGGGTGTGTGGATGATGGGTGTGTGGATGAGTGTGTGTGGATGATGGTGTGTGTGGATGATGGTGTGTGTGTGTGGATGATGGTGTGGGTGTGTGGATGATGGTGTGTGTGTGTGTGGATGTGTGTGTGTGGATGATGGGTGTGTGGATGATGGTGTGTGTGTGTGGATGATGGGTGTGTGGATGATGGTGTGTGTGTGTGTGGATGATGGGTGTGTGGATGAGTGTGTGTGGATGATGGTGTGTGTGTGTGTGTGGATGATGGGTGTGTGGATGATGGTGTGTGTGTGTGTGGATGATGGGTGTGTGGATGAGTGTGTGTGGATGATGGTGTGTGTGTGGATGATGTGTGTGTGGATGAGTGTGTGTGTGGATGAGTGGATGATGTATGAGTGTGTGTGTGGATGATGTATGAGTGTGGATGAGTGAGTGTGTGGATGATGTATGAGTGTGTGTGTGGATGAGTGTGTGTGTGGATGAGTGAGTGTGTGGATGAGTGGATGAAGTATGAGTGTTTGTGGGATGATGTATGTGTGTTTGTGTGTGGATGATGGTGTGTGTGTGTGTGTGTGTGTGGATGAAGAGTCAGTGTGTGGATGAGTGTATGTGGATGATGTATGAGTGTGTGTGTGGATGGCTGTGTGTGTGGATGATGGTGTGTGTGTGTGTGTGTGGATGATGGTGTGTGTGTGTGGATGATGGGTGTGTGTGTGTGGATGATGGGTGTGTTTGTGTGGATGATGGGTGTGTGGATGATGGTGTGTGTGTGTGGATGATGGTGTGTGTGTGTGTGGATGATGGGTGTGTGGATGAGTGTGTGTGGATGATGGTGTGTGTTTGTGTGGATGATGGGTGTGTGGATGATGGTGTGTGTGTCTGGATGATGGTGTGTGTGTGTGGATGATGGTGTGTGTGTGTGGATGATGGGTGTGTGGATGATGGTGTGTGTGTGTGGATGATGGTGTGTGTGGATGAGTGTGTGTGTGGATGAGTGTGTGTGTGTGGATGAGTGTGTGTGTGTGGATGAGTGTGTGTGGATGATGGTGTGTGTGTGTGGATGATTGGTGTGTGGATGATGGTGTGTGTGTGTGTGTGTGGATGAGTGTGTGTGTCTGGATGAGTGTGTGTGGATAATGGTGTGTGTGTGGATGATGGGTGTGTGGATGATGGTGTGTGTGTGTGTGGATGATGGGTGTGTGGATGATGGTGTGTGTGTGTGTGGATGATGGTGTGTGTGGATGATGGTGTGTGGATGATGGGTGTGTGGATGATGGTGTGTGTGGATGATGGTGTGTGTGGATGATGGTGTGTGTGTGTGGATGAGTGTGTGTGGATGAGTGTGTGTGCGTGGATGAGTGTGTGTGCGTGGATGAGTGTGTGTGTGTGGATGAGTGTGTGTGTGTGGATGGCTGTGTGCGTGTGGATGAGTGTGTGTGGATGATGGTGTGTGTGTGTGGATGAGTGTGTGTGTGGATGATGGTGTGTGTGGATGAGTTTGTGTGTGGATGGCTGTGTGTGTGTGGATGATGGTGTGTGTGTGTGGATGATGGGTGTGTGGATGATGGTGTGTGTGGATCAGTGAGTGTGTGGATGATGTCTGACTGTGTGTGTGGATGATGGTGTGTGTGGATGAGTGTGTGTGTGTGTGGATAAGTGTGTGTGTGTGTGGATGATGGTATGTGTGTGTGGATGATGGGTGTGTGTGTGTGGATGATGGGTTTTTGTGTGGATGAGTGTGTGTGTGGATGAGTGAGTGTGTGGATGATGTATGAGTGTGTGTGTGGATGATGGTGTGTGTGGATGAGTGTGTGTGTGGATGATGTATGAGTGTGGATGAAGGTGTTTGTGGATGAGTGTGCGTGTGTGTCGATGAGTGTGTGTGTGGATGATGTATGAGTGTGGATGATGGTGTGTGTGGATGAGTGTGTGTGTGGATGAGTGTGCGTGTGGATGATGGTGTGTGTGGATGATGGTGTGTGTGGATGATGAGTGTGTGGATGATGGTGTGTGTGGATGGGTGTGTGTGGATGGGTGTGTGTGTGTGTGTGATGGCGGTGTGTGTGGATGAGTGTGTGTGTGTGTGTGGAATGGTGTGTGTGGATGATCATGTTTCTGGATGAGTGTGTGTGTGGATGAGTGTGTGTGTGTGGATAGGTGTGTGTGTGTATAAGTGTCTGTGTGTATGAGTGTGTGTTTGGATGAGTGAGTGTGTGGATGATGTCTGAGTGTGTGTTTGGATGATGGTGTGTGTGGATGGGTGTGTGTGGATGTGTGTGTGTGGATGATGAGTGTGTGGATGGTGGTGTGTGTGGATGGTGGTGTGTGTGGATGAGTGTGTGTGTGTGTGGAATGGTGTGTGTGTGGATGATCGTGTTTCTGGATGTGTGTGTGTGGATGAGTGTGTGTGTGTGCATGAGTGTGTGTGGAGGAGTGTGTGTGGATGAGTGTGTGTGTGTGTGTGGAATGGTGTGTGTGGATGATGAGTGTGTGGATGATCGTGTGTGTGGTTGAGTGTTTGTGTGGATAGGTGTGTGGATGGTGGTGTGTGTGGATGATCGTGTGTGTGGATGATCGTGTATGTGGATGATGGTGTGTGTGGATGATGGTGTGTGTGGATGAGTGTGGATGATGGTGTGTGTGGATGATCGTGTTTGTGGATGATGTGTGTGTGGATGATTGTGTGTGTGGATGATGAGTGTGTGGATGATGGTGTGTGTGGATGATGGTGTGTGTGGATGATGTGTGTGTGGATGATGAGTGTGTGTGGATGATGGTGTGTGTGGATGATGGTGTGTGTGGATGATGAGTGTGTGTGGATGATGGTGTGTGTGGATGATGAGTGTGTGTGGATGATGGTGTGTGTGGATGATGAGTGTGTGGATGATGAGTGTGTGGATGATGGTGTGTGTGGATGATGGTGTGTGTGGATGATGGTGTGTGTGGATGATGAGTGTGTGTGGATGATGGTGTGTGTGGATGATGAGTGTGTGTGGATGATGGTGTGTGTGGATGATGAGTGTGTGGATGATGGTGTGTGTGGATGATGAGTGTGTGGATGATGTGTGTGTGGATGATGTGTGTGTGGATGATGGTGTGTGTGGATGATGAGTGTGTGTGGATGATGGTGTGTGTGGATGAGTGTGTGTGGATGATGGTGTGTGTGGATGATGAGTGTGTGTGGATGATGGTGTGTGTGGATGATGAGTGTGTGGATGATGGTGTGTGTGGATGATGAGTGTGTGGATGATGGTGTGTGTGGATGATGATGAGTGTGTGTGGATGGTGGTGTGTATGGATGATGTGTGTGTGGATGATGGTGAGTGTGTGGATGATGTGTGTGTGTGGATGATGGTGTGTGTGGATGATGGTGTGTGTGTGGATGATGGTGTGTGTTGATGATGGTGTGTGTGGATGGTGAGTGTGTGGATGATGGTGTGTGTGGATGATGAGTGTGTGGATGATGAGTGTGTGGATGATGGTGTGTGGATGATGGTGTGTGTGGATGATGAGTGTGTGTGGATGATGAGTGTGTGGATGATGAGTGTGTGGATGATGATGAGTGTGTGGATGATGAGTGTGTGGATGATGGTGTGTGTGAATGATGAGTGTGTGTGGATGAGTGTGTGGATGATGGTGTGTGTGGATGTGTGTGTGTGTGGATGTGTGTGTGTGTGGATGAGTGTGTGTGGATGATGGTGTGTGTGGATGATGAGTGTGTGGATGATGATGTGTGGATGATGGTGTGTGTGGATGATGGTGTTTGTGGATGATGAGTGTGTGTGGATGATGAGTGTGTGTGGATGATGAGTGTGAGTGTGTGTGGATGATGAGTGTGTGTGGATGATGGTGTGTGTGGATGATGAGTGTGTGTGGATGATGGTGTGTGTGGATGATGTGTGTGTGGATGATGTTGTGTGTGGATGATATTGTGTGTGGATGATGGTGTGTGTGGATGATGGTGTGTGTGGATGATGGTGTGTGTATGGATGATGGTGTGTGTGGATGATGGTGTGTGTGTGGATGATGGTGTGTGTGGATGTTGGTGTGTGTGGATGATGGTGTATGTGGATGATGGTGTGTGTGGATGATGTTGTATGTGGATGTTGGTGTGTGAGTATGTGCGGGTGTGTATGGATGAGGAAGTCACCACGCCCTCAGCACGCTCTCAAGCACACATAGTATATTTGAAATCCTGTTAAAAGTTTTGATAACCCTCAGCCACTCACAATATGGATGGCCAATACAACACAAGGGGAGTAATCGTGGGTCACAAAACAGCAATTGTTTGAAGCATTCCTAAAATCCCCAACAAGTCACTTTCATCAAACCCAAGGATGTCTCCTGGTAATGCAGAAACCTGTTGGCACCGTGGGAGGAACTCACCCAATCAACAGCCTCAAACATGATGAGATCCAGGGGGTCCCCAGTCACGTGACCGTCTATAATGGTGAGGGAGTGGCATGTTGCCATGGCACTGATGATCAGCTGATTGTGTAACTTGTTCATATTACGGATTTCGTCTTCGAACCTGTGGAAAGGGACACGTGTGGGTATTAAACTCCTGCAGTTTAAGCTGTATTAGTAGAAGCAAATTGGGGACATGTGTACTGACAGTTACCTTGTTTGTTGTACTACCCCGCACCCCGCAATTGTCCAACTATGTGACGGCGGTCTGTAAATAAGTCTTGACCTGACAATCCAGTGATTGACATCCTTATCGTCGAAATTCGCCTTGCAACAATGTAAAATTTTGTAGCAGGCATTTTCAATAGGATTTCAACGGTTTGAAGCCACCTCCACCACCCCAACGCACGCATTTTAGCCGCACTTAAATATTAAATATTTGGTATGTCAGAAGTCCAAAAGTTCATGTAAGAAGGAAAATGCGTGCTGCGTGCTGCGTGCTGCGTGCGTGCGCGCGCGGACTGATGCCGATTTATAGTGCAAGCTCACTGAGATACCATGCCGCAGTATACTGACTCCGAGCCGATCAGTCCTTGTTTTAGACCCTTATGCCCAGAAACATAATAGGGGCGAACCAGGATTCGAACCCGCAATCATAGGTTTCTGGCGTGCCCAAGGGACGCAACTCTGCACAGCGAATTGCGGCGCCTTAGATGTCTGGGCCACCCGTGCCCCCCGATTGGGGTAGGACCAGTCACATATTGTAACCATCCGATCCTCATTTCAGTCGTCTCTTGTGACAAACATTGGGTGATGGGGACCTATTCTTGCCCGGAATCCCAGTGGGTCCACGGCGTCAGATGATGTCCAATTCACTGCTTACACTCCTTTAGGGGAAGGTGCCACGGCCATCATTTTCATCCCGCCCTCCGTCAAGGTCCCAGTCTGAAAACAAACATCAAAATAACAGTGGCAAGTATCCCAGACTAGCCAAATGGGTAAAGCGTTCGTTCGACACGCCGTAGTCCCGGGTTCGAGTCCCAACGTAAGTGTAGCCGATTTCTGGTGTCTCTTCCACGATATTGCTGAAATTTTGTTTAATCACTCTCACGCACTCACATGTGAAATGGGGTTAAGGTCGCGTTCGAGATTATTGCATTTATATAGCGATATGCATGAGTGTGTTTTGTTCTGAAGTCGGTTTTTATAGTGCTCACCCATCGAGGTTCTATGCCATCCAATTTTACATGGATACCCCACTCAGACCCAGCATACATGGATATTAAATGAAGGGCCCATCCTTGACTTTTATATTGTTTTATTACAACAGGAAAATATATTCGAGCGGAGTAAAATCACAAAATGCACCGCAGGATGGGACAATAACATGTGAACTGCAATTTTGAATATTGATATGCATATATTAAAATGAAGGATCAATACCAAGCACGCTGTTCAATAAACACTGACCTTGTCGAAGCAGACAACGTTGACGGTGCCGCAGATGTTGATGCCACGAGGGCTGATGCAGAAGATGCCGGCCTTCTTCAGCCGCTGCTGGGCGAATACGATGCCAACGCCGAGGGCTGCAGGAAGGGCTGGGGGAACCGTTATCGTCACGAGAACTAGCGTCATTTTGATGATGTTGCTCACGGTGTCGCCGTTCCTCACCTACGACAACACACACACACTTTCACATGACCGTTTTGTGAGGATTGGGTAGCACGGGTGGTCAAGTGGTCTAAGGTGCCCCAATTCTGTGTCCACAGGTAACATATATATTAAAAATACTTAATACGAATACATGTTTTTTCGCTGGACATGGTTGAAATGGGTTTTCATAAAGAAATTACCAAAAAAAATAATTACACTCACCATCAATATTACTGTATATATGACGCCAAGTGATGCGAGGAAGGCAAGGATACCGATGAACCAATAGGTGTCTCTGTTGAACTTGAAGTCCACTGGCTTTGGGAACATGATAGAGCGAACCAACTCGCCCTTCGCTGTTAGGAAGCCTTAAACACAGGGACAGAACTCGTGCATTTTTTTAAAGCAAGTCTTGCGTAACTCAATTGTAAAAGTTCATGTCTAACAGGCATGCAGCACAGGACCAAAAGCTGGGATGTTTGAAAAAAACGTAAATTGAGTAGGAAACACAATGACCGAATATGCGTACAGAAACGGATATGATCTAACTTTCCGTGACCATGTGTGTTGGGTTTTAACACCACCTTTTTAAGCATTATTCCAGTTATATCACGGCGTGTCAGCCCGAAGTGATGCAGGTGTTACACGTTTATCATTTCAGTGAAACCAACGAGCCCGGGTATGGTGCTGACAAACCTATAAACATAATCGGGGCGAACCGGGATTCGAACCCACAATCATAGGTTTCTTGCGTGCTCATGGGACGCAACTCTGCACAGCGAATCGCGGCGCCTCAGACGACTGGGCCACCCGTGTCCCCTCATTTCATATAAAGATACGCCTTTGTAACATCGTTTCTTGCCCTATTCACAAGTATTTGGTTCTATTCTTACCGCTTCTGAGGACGACGGCGTTGACTTTATGGCTGCCGTAGTAGCGAGTCTGGATGACGTGAGTACCACAGAAGAGGATATGTCGGGAGTGCTTCTTGATGTCAAACATGGCTTCCTGGCTTGAGGCGTGCAGGGGGTTGGGGAGGGGCGTCTTGGTCACGGGCACACTCTCGCCTGGGCACAAATCACAGAAACATGGGGGCTGAGAGGACAATATCGTACCCGATGAAATCATGTGACCGACACATTTCCGTATTAACGAATCACAGAATATTACAGAACTAGTACAGACCGTATAAAAAATATTCATCTGGACAGTGGGTAATCGGGGTAAAGGATTCGCACAAAGATTCATACTAGCGAGGTTGTTCGAATCCCATATTCGGCTCAACTATACTTCTTGGTTTGTCAGCGCCACTCCCGTGCTCGTGGGTTTCATCAAAGTGTTAGATGTCTACTTCCTACATGTCTTTGCACCCACATCAAACTGACACGCCGTGACATAACTGAAATACTCTGGAAAAACCGTTCCACCAAACCCACTGTACCCCGTAACCTGACACTGTGTCCCGAAACACTGTAACCTGTAACAACGTGTCCCCCACCGTGTTACATGTAACACTGTGTCCCCTACTCTAGTAGCTTAAACACCGTCCCCAACTCTGGAAGCTGTAACACTGTGTCCTCTACCCTGTTACATGTAGCACTGTCCTTTACCCTGTTACATGTAACACTGTGTCCCCTGCTCTGGAAGCTGTAACACTGTGTCCCCTACTCCGGAAGCTGTAACACTGTCCCTTAACCTGTTACATGTTACACTGTGCCCCTAACTATGTTACATGTAACAATGCCTCTACGATGTTACATGTTACACTGTGTCCCCTACTCTGGAAGCTGGAACACTTCTCTGGAAGCTGTAACAATGTGCCCCTTATCTTTGCACCTGTGACACTGTGGCCTGTAACATGTAACAGTACTGTTACTGTCTTACAGCAGTTTCTGTATACTACCTGTCAGCATGCTCTCATTGACGATGCAGTTGCCGCTGACGAGGACGGCGTCACACTGCATCATGCAGCCGTGCCGGGGCACCTCTATGACGTCACCGGGCACGAGGTCATCTGATGATATGTCATCGTACACTGAAACAACAGTTTGATCTAATATTATTGAACCCTTTTCTCGAATAATAATAATTTTAAAAAGATATAAATCTACATGGCTACATTTATTCTCATTCTCATTTATAGTCTGTAGTGTCTAGTGGTCCAGCGTCCGCCCGGAGAGGGGAAGGTCCGGGGTTCGATCCCCGACCGCGTCGTACCAAAAGGCGTTAAAATATGATACTTGTTGTTACCCTGCCTGGTGCTCGTCGTTAAGGGGCTGAAACAAGGACTGCTCGGCTCGGAGTGGGGAATTTATGTTAAATTGCGGCATAGTATCTCAGTGGGATAGCACTATAATAGGAGCAGTCACACCGAAACACGTCCATGCGCGTCCCTATATACGTGCAATAGCCCTGGACGCGACGTTAAACCCCATTTCACCTCACCTTAACATTCTATATGCAAACTTAAGGCATGGGGATAGTGCCTAAAATCGTGATTTATTTTTCAAAAGTTCTAAATGATTATATTTTGATTAGAAACGAAATGATACCCAAACTATCGTTGAATATGAAAGATCCTGTATTAAGGTAATGCTGACTTCGTGCTTATGAATAATATACCTCTACCAAACCAATGCAAAGAAACCTGTGATAACTCGTCATATGAACAAACGGATGTCCTTGAACTTGTTTGGAGTAGACTATATTCAATGAAGTATTAAGCAAAATACGTATCTTTATTTCTCATATTTTTATATAATTTGATGTATTAAATGTCAACAAGCATACTTTTTCATCTATGGGAGAGTGTGATCAAAGTTTAAACTAAAGGTGAGGTGAAATGGGGTTTAACGTCACGTCCAAGATTATTGCACTTATATAGCGACGTGCATGTACGTGTGTTTGTGTGGCTGCTTGTACTTGTCCGGACGGATGCCGATTTATAGTGCTTGCACACTGAGATACCATGCCGCAGTTTAACATGAATACCCTACTCAGACACAGTATACTGACTCCGAGACGACCAGTCCTTGTTTTAGCCCCTTAATCCTGAGCGCCAGACAGGGTAACAACAAGTACCGTCTTTTCACGTCTTTTGGTATGACGCGGCCGGGGATCTAGCCCCGGACCTTCCGCTCTCCGGGCGGACGCTCTACCACTAGACCACGGAGGCGGTCAAGTATAAACTAAACAAGTAAGCCCAGTACAAATGATAAACGTGAGAACGTACAGTCATTTTTTGTAGATAGATAGGTAGATACAGAATTTCAGGTGGTGTATCCATATCTAAGTCACTTATAACAGAGGTTAGAATGTTCAGTTCTCAATGTGAATTTTCCTGACATTCTAATCTAGTCCCTTGGCATAAACATATTGATATCGAAGTTTGGTACAAGGACCTGATGTCAGACATGTCTTTGAACTGATAATGTCCGGAGCTGACGATAGGTAGCGCTGATTGTACTTACCGTCCCCGCCACGACACACGGTGACGATGGTGGAGGAAGTGATGGTACTGCGGAGCGCCCTCTGCATCTGGAACACAACAGTGAGTGAATATAGTTTTACACCGCTTTTAGCAATATTCCAGCACTTGGCTCTGCCCCATCCCCAGCCCCTGCAACCCAATAGTAAGTGAGTAAGTGAGTTTGGCTTAACGCCGCTTTCAACAGTGTTTGAATAATATAACGACGTGTCAGCTTATTGTGGGAGGAAAGCCGGAAGTGATGGAGGTCTCATACGTTTTCCACTTTGTTGTAGGCCAGAGTACAGGTATGTGAGACTGACACACCTAGAAACGTAATCAGGGCGAGCAGGGATTCGAACCCGCGATCATGTCCTAGGTAGCAATGGTACAGCTACACCACGCCAAACAGTTTAACCAGTCTTCGAGCAGACGAACCAGTGCTCAATAACAAGAACATCGGGGTTACCAGGACACACTATACTACCCAGGTCGTTTTTTTGCCGTGATTTTAAACGGGCGCTTCAAACTCCATGTTTACCTTTAGCGCCTCGACGACGACGACGATGAAGATGTTGACGACGATGATAACGACGTGAAGAGTGCTTACCTTCCTCGTCTGGTAGATGGTGATGATGATAGAGAGGCTGGAGATGAAGACAATGCAGCTAGCGTAGATGGTGTAATCGTCAGCGAACCACACAGAGACACTGAACACTTGGAACACGTAGAAGGGGGACAACACCTGTGTCGGTGGAGGGTAGAGGTTGTAGATTAGGATACTAATGACACGACGACAACGGTAATGATGGCAGTGACAACGTCGCTGGTGTTACTGGTGATAGAGACGGAGATGAAGATGCTGATAATGAAATGATGACGGCGATACTGCTCCTAGTGTTGCTGGTTCCGATAATACTGACAGTAACGATGTCGAGGAAGATGTGGTTTGGATAATGAAATAACCGACGTGGTCTTGTCACCATGGACGCTGACTTACCTCTTTGAACAAGATCTTGATAATCGGTGCCACGTGGACTCGAATAGAGTTGATCCCATATAGAACTTGTCTGAAAACCCCCACACACATTCGTTCAACATAAAGGCGAAAGTACTTAGTGTATCATAACAAACAACAACGCACTGGATAGAGCGCAAGATAAATGATTCGATCCCCGACCGCGTCATCCCAAAATACGTTCAAAGATGATACTTGATACTTTTTTCCAGCAATTTTTCATTCATTTTCAAGGAACACATTGCCCAATGTTCTTGTTGCAGTGTAGGGAGGTGTGGCTCAAGGTTCCATCGTTACGCCGAAGGGCAGGGATCAGCATGGAGAATTGAGTTTAAATATAAGCGTCATACGGATACGTGGATTCGGTTGGGAAATTGACAATGAGTGAGTGAGTTTGGTTTAAAGCCACTTTGAACAGTATTCAAGTTATATCACGGCGTGGCAGTTGGGCATGGTGCTGACAAACCTAAAAATATAATCGGGGCGAACCGGGAGTCCAACCCACGATCATTCGTCACCTTTCTGGCGTGCTAAAGGAACGCAACTCTGCACAGAAAATTGCGGCGTCTCAAACTACTTGGCCACCCGTTTCGCTGGCAATGATGGTCTTTTGGTCACAAACCTATCTGCAGAATACATGTGGCGATACTCCTCTGCTTCAGTATGTACACATAACAATTACTGCAAGCGTCGTAGTGTCGTGTGGAGCACAGATTGATGGGCAAAAATATGTGTTGGAGATTTTCGAATGGATAGACTTAGATCATATCGAGATTATAATGAATGACAGTTAGATCTGATATAAAACGATTTTGAGGTTTCATGTTTGAAATTAGCATACCTCTTTTTTTGCTCATCATACGCCAGGCCTGTTTGATGATAGAAGAACGAACAAGCCCTGTCCTTGTCAAACCCCCTGTAACAAGAGGAGCGAGTCAAGCTTATAGCAGCTAGTGCGGGTTTGTTTGTTTGTTTGTTAATTAACGCTGTATTGAGCAATATTCCAGCCACACGACAGCGGCCTGTAACTCCTCGAATCTGCCCCAGACAAACCGGTGATTGATAAAGTGAGCACGTCCCACGCCGTCGGGTACGATGACACGCAATCATCCAAATCACCGATCCATTAGTCGCCTCTTATGACACAAGTAGGTTGCTGGGGACCAATTCTAACCCGGATCCCCACGGACAGGCGCTGTATGAGTGACAGGCATGAGTTGGATTTAGGCAAACAATTCAAACAAGCTATGAAAACTGAATGAATGATTTACTAACACTGCTTTGAACATCAGATCATATATATACCCCTCAAATTGTGGTGAGGTGAGGTGAGGTGAGGTGAGGTGAAATTGGGTTTAACGTCGCGTCCAAAATTATTGCGCTTATATAGCGACGTGCATGCACGTGTATGTGTGTGTGTGGCTGCTTGTACTAGTCCGGACTGATGCCGATTTATAGTGCTAGCACACTGAGATATCATGCCGCAGTTTAACATGGATACCCCACTCAGACACAGTATACTGACTCCGAGCCGACCAGTCCTTGTTTTAGCCCTTTAATGCCGAGCGCCAGACAGGGTAACAACAAATACCATCTTTTAACGTCTTTTGGTATGACGCGGCCGCTCAAATTGAGAACAAACGGGTATGGAGCTGACAGACCAAGGGTCATAATCTGGGAATCGAACCCACGACAAGCGGATCCTGACAACACAATCTGCACCGTGAGATTCGGGACGTAAGATCAGAAGATATAATAGTATTTGGTTTGGTTTAGCCATACCATGACCGACAGTTTTGAGAGTATGGGTAGGCCAAAACAGAAATACTGTTTTGACACAAAAGACATTGAATAAACGTGTTTAACGCCACACTCAGCAATATTCCGGCTACATGATTTCGGTCTGTAAATAATCGTGTCTGGAACAGACAATCCAGTAATTGACATCATAAAACATCGATCTATGCAGTTGGGATACGATGACATGCATCAAACAAGTCAGCCTGCACAACCACTCGAGCCCGTTAATCGCCGCTGACGACAAGCATTAGTTGCTGAAGACCAATTGTAACCCGGATCTTCACGGGTCGTGTATGAAAAGGAAACAACGCTAGCTCAGCCAGGGCACGACCCTGTGGCTGCGTACATAGTACACATCCTCCGGCAACCACAGACATGATGTTTTTTTCAGAATAACATTGAATAAAGAAAAGGTTGATTATGATGCTATACATTCCATTGCTCCAAGGTTTTATTCGATGTAGTTTTCGATATAGAGTCAATGTGAAAAACATCTCACCTCAGTCGGGTAAATTCTTTCATTTCTTTGTCCCATATGTACTTGATTTTCTTACAAATAAAGTACCGTATCAGACCATCTCTCTGCTGAAAGGGAAACAGGAAAGTCACAGTGGGCGCCCAAAGTAGAACTCATAAAGAACCGTAGTCCTATGAAAACTTCATATGTTCTTTAACTTCAATTGAGTTGTATATATTGGCTCAAGTTTGGGACCATACGATATCGTACATATAGATCGTATTACGAAAAGGAAATTCGTGTTGCATTTTCAAATGTTTTTGTCTTTTCGAGGCTATAGTTGATGCTAAATCGGTCCATAGAATTCGTTATAACACTCTGGATAAATCACAAGTAGTCACATCTCACCTTGGCAGATTCGTTGGAGGTTTGTGATTGGTGCACGGTCTGTGAGTTCTTGAATGGCACAGTCTGCTCTCTGGTGGATAGTGTACATGACTTCATTCACACATTTGAACACGTTTGAAAGAATTACGGATCATTCATTTGACGCATTTGCCGTATGCTGAGGTCGACAAGAGACGTGAATTGAAGCTGTATTGCCATACCAATGTGGGAGCACCTACAATGTTTCTACAACAGTGTTATGATATCCGTATTTAAAAAAGATATTCAGAAACTGACTGGGACGCTGCGTGAGTCGCCCCTGGGTGATGCACGTGAAATATGTCCCTGTGCGTTTGGCACGTGCATCTCGCTCTTTGGCGACTGGGGTAATGAAATGCACGTTCCGGGCCAAATATACAATACAAACAAAAAATGTGGATTTTTAAGACGTTATTTTAAGTGCTATTAATTCGAATGTGTGATCTGAGAACATGATATTGTGGTTTTGAATCATGTATGACCATTGTAAGCTGTGACACTCACTGGGTTTTCACTGTGGAGTTGAACCATTGCTTCCACTGGTCCTGAAAGAAAAGGACAAAATTAAAGACTTTACAACGCCTCAATTATATATTACTAAACGTAACCTTCACAAGATGTACATACACTAAGTAACGATATCTGTCCAAAAGCTGTCTAGGGGATTTGCTTTGCCTTCAGTAACACTGTTGTAGCCACGGTCAGTGAGCATCTGGAGTGGGTGGCCTTACCTTCAGTAACACTGTTGTAGCCTCGGCCAGTGAGCATCTGGAGTGGGTGGCCTTACCTTCAGTAACACTGTTGTAGCCTCAGCCAGTGAGCACCTGGAGTGGGTGGCCTTACCTTCAGTAACACTGTTGTAGCCTCAGCCAGTGAGCACCTGGAGTGGGTGGCCTTACCTTCAGTGACACTGTTGTAGCCTCGGCCAGTGAGCACCTGGAGTGGGTGGCCTTACCTTCAGTAACACTGTTGTAGCCACGGTCAGTGAGCACCTGTAATGGCTGACCTTACCTTCAGTAACACTGTTATAGCCTCGGCCAGTGAGAACCTGTAATGGGTGACCTTACCTTCAGTAACACTGTTGTAGCCTCAGCCAGTGAGCACCTGGAGTGGGTGGCCTTACCTTCAGTAACACTGTTGTAGCCTCAGCCAGTGAGCACCTGGAGTGGGTGGCCTTACCTTCAGTGACACTGTTGTAGCCTCGGCCAGTGAGCACCTGGAGTGGGTGGCCTTACCTTCAGTAACACTGTTGTAGCCTCGGCCAGTGAGAACCTGTAATGGGTGACCTTACCTTCAGTAACACTGTTGTAGCCTCAGCCAGTGAGCACCTGGAGTGGGTGGCCTTACCTTCAGTAACACTGTTGTAGCCTTGGCCAGTGAGCACCTGGAGTGGGTGGCCTTACCTTCAGTAACACTGTTGTAGCCTCAGCCAGTGAGCACCTGGAGTGGGTGGCCTTACCTTCAGTAACACTGTTGTAGCCTCGGCCAGTGAGCACCTGGAGTGGTTGGCCTTACCTTCAGTAACACTGTTGTAGCCTCGGCCAGTAAGCACCTGGAGTGGGTGGCCTTACCTTCAGTAACACTGTTGTAGCCTCGGCCAGTGAGCACCTGGAGTGGGTGGCCTTACCTTCAGTAACACTGTTGTAGCCTCGGCCAGTGAGCACCTGGAGTGGGTGGCCTTACCTTCAGTAACACTGTTGTAGCCTCGGCCAGTGAGCATCTGGAGTGGGTGGCCTTTATAAACAGATGTGGCAGCCAGTAGAAGAAGAGTCGCAGCAGCCCGACCGTGATGATGATGAAGAACCACACGACAGCTGTTTTCAGTGTTTGGGGCCTAAACCCGGAGATTTCCTGTAACAGTGAATGAGTGAGTTAATTTTACACCACAGAAAGAACTGAGGGTCGGAGGTACCCAACATGTACGACACACATTGTTCCCTAACCTTGACCGTCGACGAGACAAGCGAACGGCTTTACCATGAGGCCTTTGACGTCGGCGTACGAGTCCCCCGATGATGTCACAGACTTGCTCTCGTGGGAAAAGGTCATGACTCATGGCTGGTCATTGCATTCTGGTGATGTTGTGCTGCTGGAGGTAATCAGTTACGAGACATGCACGGTGGGCACAAGCAAAACAACTATTGGCGCCAGTATGTTATCTCGACGGCACTGTCAAGTGACCCGTCCAGCGGCTTCTGTGATCCCGACCCACAGCATTACACAACCCCCCCTGAATCTGCCATGTTACCTTACTTGAGGTTCGCATGACGTGCGTTAGGGCGCCTCCAGACACGTCTGTGCCTGTGCAAAATGCCAAGAATGAATCTGGACTCATCTAAAAACATTACGGCGATTTCCAGCTTTCACGCTCTGAACACTATTGGCGTCTGGCTGGAATGTGTCGATGTGTTAACAGTGGTGCAAACCGTGGTCGCCAAGCGGGCATTTTAGCTGTATGCAGACAATTTCTTATTGTCTGGTCAGTGACTTGAATTCCGGTGGCCTGGTGCAAGTGATTGGCTGTTTGGTCTCGATTTCTTAAAGCCCGGTTTCAGATTAATCGAACATTGTGTTGTTGGCCAAGGGCGTCCTGTGCTGGGCCGATATCAATAGTTTGTGTCTGCAGAAGCATGTTCCAAAGTCTGCAAATCAAGGACTGAAAAAAACCTTAGGTTTAGTTTAAACATATTTTATTCTCATAAAAAGGACTTAGAACGTCCTATGTACATTCAAATTGCAAGTTTTTGTTTTCTTTATATACTGAACAACAAAAGTTCCTGTGACATTGAATAAGATTTCATGCAAAGTTATGTTTTTTACCAAATCTGAAACAATTTCGGTTTGCAACAGATAAAAGACTCATGTGAGTGTTCTAATGGTTTAATTTGCCATACTGACTTCATAAAAAACATGAACATGCCAAAATGTCAATTTATAAATCAGTAGCGTGTATGTCCACCTTTGGTTGTGATGCAAGCAACACATCTTCGTCTCATGGAATGGACCAGGCGTCGCACAAAGTCCTGTGGGATATCTGTCCATATCTGCTGGAGCATGTTTCGAAGTTCCTGGAGGGTCTCTGGAACACGTGGTTGACGTCGAAGGCGCCGATCCGTCTCATTCCACATGCGCTCGATTGGTGAAGATCAGGGGAGCGAGCCGGCCAGGGGATGACGTTTACGTTATTGCGTTGAAGAGAATCCCGAACAAGTCGAGCAATATGAGGCCGGGCGTTGTCATGTTGAAAGGTAATGCCTGGGCCATGACGACGTAACGTTCTTCTCAACGTCGGTACACTCGAATCCGTCCATCGCTGTGGCTGAGGTGAAAACGAGACTCGTCAGTGAATAGAACTGGCCGTCAAGCGTAGACGCTGTAGACGTGCTTGACGGTGCTTGACGGTGGTTTCCTGTCAAAATGGGACGTCTGGCGGGTCTTCTGGCGACAATCCCTGCAGGCGACGACGTACGGTTTGTGAAGATATTTGTCGAAGGCCAGGGATGCTTTTTGCAGTCACTGTTGCTGGCTGGAATCGATTTCATAGGTGTGTTGTTCGAATCCAGTTGTCTTGTCGATTATTGGTTACGCGTGGCCTGCCATTCCGAGGATGGTCTCTGACTGAGTTCGTCTGTTGCTAACGTTGCCATAAACACCAAATGGTGTTTCTGTGGACGTTAAATTGTCTTGCAACATCACGTTGACTCGATCCTGCTTCAAGCATACCAATGGCTCGCATACGCTTATTTTCGGTCAGGCGTGTCATTTCGTAATGTTGAATAATTGCGTAATTTTGTTGTTTTTCTGTGTGGTTGTTGTAAGCACGATGCTAAACAATGCACATGGAATCCCGTTAACGCACATGTTTTTATACCCATTCCTGGGTAGTGAAATGTATGGGGCTTGCATAAAAGTCAACTTTTGCATGGAATACATGCTTTCTGTAGCAGTTGCGTTTTTGTGACTTGATTCCATACATGTACGACAATATTAAAATCCAAACTTTACTTGTTTGAAAAATACATTAAAATATTGGTGTCACAGGAACTTTTGTTGTTGAGTATGAACATTCCTAAAAATGTTTTCGTTGACATGATTCAGTAAAATTGTATTGCCAACAAGCATGGTAGGTGTCATCATAGGAGGAAGGGACACTTACTTCCTGAAGCTTCACTTCCTTATTTGGGCAGTTCCTACGCTGTCTGTCACTGAGCCTGGGACTGGTTTGCAGAAATTCTCCAAGATTAAAGAGTGAGTGAGTGATTGAGTATTGTTTTACGCCGCTTTTAGCAATATTCCAGCAATATCATGGCGGGGGACACCAGAAATGGGCTTCACATATTTCGCCCATGCCAAGATTAAAGCGGTAATGAAATAAAATTTCTGTTTGCAGAGGAATTAACTACTATCAGAACACACTAATTGCGATGAATAAAATGTAACTCGGATTTAGAACGACTGATTTGTTCGTGAAATAACTTTGTTATTCACTTGTATTGTGAAATAAATGCAAACGACAATTATCAAACGTATAACGTCATGGGATAATAGCATGGTTTCCTTGAACAAAGTGGTGTCGTTACCAAATTGTCGATGGTTTAAGAGAATTTGCAACCAGTTTTCATGAAGAATACGCTTTGAATTGGTAAAAATATATTCTTTGACAATTTCTTTGACAGGATTTGACAACATGTGACCAATATCCTTCATATAAGAGAGTGAGTGATCTGGGTTTAACGCGGCAATGTCGTTGTGGTATTGCTGGATTTCCTGTAAACCGCATACCAATCGATCCTTCCGCGAATATTAGTTCGTACAACATCACGGCCGATTTGAGACAAATGTTATTGTTAATATAAAATGCGGTAAAATACAGTTTCCTTAGGACGATCATTAACATTTCGTGTCAACAGAATCCTGTTGTGTGTGAAACTCATAGACTGAGACACATTAAACATATGACTACATCTCGCTGAAAACAAGGTTAGGTGGATTACGAGCATGTCACCACTGTCTCTGACCTCACGTAAGGAAGGGGCACAGCCAAAGATAACGTATTGAACAATGTGAGCAAGCCTCCGGCTGCACTCGGCTTATTCCGTTACCTATATAATACCTCGGGCAGCAATGGCGTAGTGATATTGAAAGATTTACTGTAAACCGCATACCGATCAATCTCCGCAAATATATAGTTCGTACATCACGGTCGATTTGAGAAAAAAACTAATTTTAATAGAAATACGGTAAAATGCAGTTCGATATCAATCAACAAGGGTGACGGTCGCCGCAAGGTTCTGTTGTGTAATATGATAGTTTCTGGTGAATCCTGTTCAAAATGGATTCCCACCATGTTGGTCGAGATAAACCTTCTACCACTGTGGTGAGCTGAGTGTAAGATATAAATAACTGGCGTCTTCTTGGGACAACACTTGTGCACTGTGGGGTTCGGCAATAAACTGCAGCTACTTATTTTTAACAGAGTGCTGGTGTTGTTGGCATGTTACGGCAAAAGTAGGCCACTCTGAGATGGTAAACATATAACGCCCTCCATAATACAGGATACACTATGCTATCTGAACAAACAGTCAAAAGAAAATACACACACGTTTGATGGTGGCAAACGAAAGATATTACATGCATCAAAATCAATCTCAGGTAACGTGCATATGTCATCTCAAGGGTCGCAATTGTACAGAACACAGTAATGAGCAGAGTAAAGTGTGCACTTTCAATGAAAGTGTATACTTGCTTTTGACAAGCAGTGTATTAAGTTATCATGCTAGTGTGTTTTGGGATGGTACATATGTTGTATAAAGGAATAAACTTTGTATGTAACGAATCTTGGCATTGAAGAATGCTTGAGTCAGATTGGTTAAAATGGGGTATCTATTCAATTTTCTAATTGATTGACTGAGCGCGAAAGCGCTCGTTTCCAAGTTAAAAAATAGGAGGCGTCGATTCTGTAGTTTGGCGACCTCAAATTTCAAACCACAGTAGGTTTCTCACCTGAGTGTTTATTCCAAATACAGGATAAACTGTATCTATAAATTGCAAGTTTTCTTGGGATGTGCGCAATAACATTTCACAAGCTTAGTGATTAGTCACTCGGAAATGACAACAGGCATCAGAGTTCCCTTTGAAACTTGCGCGAAACGAAAAGAACCGGTTTGACATCCCCAACCCCACCCCCACGTCTAACTGAACATAAAACAGATTATAAACGTGGATAAATTATTTTTTCAACCAAAGATTAACATTGAAGAGTCCTTGACATTAACATTGAAGTGCTCTTGACATGAATGTGTTACCATCTGATCCTCCTCCTCGGGGTTGACATAGAGTCTCCCAGCCTTCATAGGCGGCGGCCCCGTCTGTGCCATCGTCAACGCCGACCCTGAAACGACGAAACGGAGGCAGGACAATAAAAACGAACCACAAACATATATTTGTTTACGAAAGTCACGGAAGGCAAAAGAAGATGGATGGAAAACACTAACGTCTACGGGAAAAGAAGGGGTGGGGCATAGGGGTGGGGGTGAGGGTGGGGGTGGGGGTGGATGGGGTGAAGGGAAACACAAAAGACACATTTAAAAAACCCCATAGTATTGCCATAACCGAACAGTTAAATAATGTCCATTCATGGAGTGGGTGTATTGACTGGCTAAAGAGTGAGTGAGTGAGTTGGGTTTTACGCCGTTTTGAACAGTGTGTCATTTATACCATGGCGAGTCAATATGATGTGGGAGGAAAAGTGATGCAGGACCTACGCGTTCACAACTTTGGTGAAACGAGCACGGGCATTCTACCGACAAACCTAGAAACATAATGAGGGCGAATCTATGATAGAGCCCTCGATCAAAGGTTTCTGGAAGGCCTAATGAACCCGAAACACAACTGGACCACCAGGACACACACACAACCTCCGGATGAGCTGCTGGTTAACGTGGTGGTGAAAGAGTCTATTCGGTTTCCATCTTTACTGAACTGAGCACAGTCATTGCCGGAGTCCCTATTGCCACTACACACCGCCTTCTTGGTCCAGTGGGTAGAGCATCTGACCGGAGAGCGGAAGATCCGGGGTTCGATCTCCGGCCGCGTCATACCAAAAAGACGTTCAAAGATGTAACTTGTTGTTACACTGTCTGTCACTCGGGATTAAGGTGATAAAACGAGGCTTGGTCGGCTCAGAGTCAGTATACTGTGTCTGAGTGGGATACCCATGTTAAACACCGACATGGTAGCTAGCAGTAGAAAACCGGCATTAGTCCAGACTAGTACAAGCAGCTAAACACAAACACGTGCATGCACGTCCCCATGTCAGTGCAATTATCTGTGAACGACGGAGAGTTTACGTCCCGTGTATCCCATGCATTTCGCAAAGACTTCCCTAAATGGGGAATCGGGTGGTCACAATGTCGGACCCGGCAGACCTGATACCATCACACCACAGCGGCGGGGATCAAACTCATGTTTACAACAGGCTGCAATGATGCAAGGTTACAGCTGGAGTGTTGCTGAAGTAGGGGTAGACATAAGACAACTTATATTAAACAGCTTCTGTATTGTTCGCTACAACGTCTCAGCCAACTTCTCCTGATTTCGACAAAACAAGAATCGACTGTTCAGAACCCAAGATTTGGACACAAGCACATATTTGTATAGAGATTAAAAGTACAACTTCATACATGTCTGCAGTTGCCTCCCTTGGTCGTGCCAGAATCCGACTGCAGTGGTTGCGAATCCCAAATTCGCTCTGATTATACTTCTTGGTATGTTTGCATCATAACCGTGCTTGTTACCAAAGTAGTAAACGTCTAAGACCATTGAAATATTCTCCCACATTATGCGTTATATAAATAAAATCCTGTCCAGAGCGGCGCTAAATGTCTTTTACTCACTCGGTCTAGCCTTGGTTAACTGTACAGTTTAAAGAGATGCGCAGAAGGCGTGAGTATGTGAGTGAGTAAGTATTGCACCGCTTTTAGCAATATTCCTCAATATCAGGTCGGGGTACACCAGAAATGGGCTTCACACATTGTACCCATGTCGGGAATCGAACCCAAGCCTTCGGCGTGACGAGCGAACGCATTCACCACCGGACTACGTCACCGCCCCGTGCCTTGTCTGGATTAGCTGTTCGAGCTGAGCAGGAATGTGTTTTGTTTCAAAGCTTGGTATTATTTAAAAACGAATAAAACTTTGGCCACGATTACTGTTTCCTTGAGAGTGGACAGGGCTTGTGTTTTATTATTGTGCTGATTCCGTATCGTTGTCTACATGTTTTGCGTTATTGGTTAAATAAGCAGTTTGTGAAGTTATTATTGTTGACTTTTTTATTTTTAACGTTTTGGGGTGTATAAAGTAAAATCTGTACTCATGTTGCGTAAATCTCCTTTTCTGGAGATAATGCTATCTGCACACTGGTTTAAAAAATATTTCAATAAATGTTTAATTATTTCTTGACAAGTTGGAGTATGAAGCTGGGGTATACCATGACATGTCAGCTTGATTGGGGAGGAGACCCGGGTTCGATTCCCGACATGGGTACGGTGTGTGTGTCTCCTGCCGCGATATTGCTGGAATATTGCTAAAAGCGGCGCAAAACCTAACTCACTCACTAATTCACTCGTTTTCAATGAATGTGGTCTCATCATCATAAATGTCTGTATATAATCGAGTCTGGACCAGACAATCTAGTGATTGACATCATGAACATCGATCCATCGATCGATGACATGCATCAACCAAGTCAGCGAGCCTGATCACCCGATCCTGTTAGTCGCCTCTTACGACAAACATGGGTTACTGAAGACTTGCTATTCTACCACGGATCTTCACAGGTCTGTGTTTGCAGACATTAATTTGATGATTTACAACAACGCGCCTCGGGTTGTCCATGCTGTCTCCATTGTGTCTTCAGTGTGCATCATCATCATCATCATCAAGATTTGTATGTTCACGGCCACTAATGGAAGAGGTCAAATTTCGTTCACTGACAGAAATGCTAATATGCTTTTATATATTCCTGTCAAACCATATAAACAGTAGCAGTATCGCGCCCTGGCCGAGCTGGGATATACACTCTCAAACACTGTGGGTCACGGTATGGCTGAACCAGACCAATTACAATTATTTGTTTGTTTCTTGTTTAACGCCACACGCAACAATATTTCAGCTAAATGACGGCGGTTTGTAAATAATCGAGTCTGGGCCAGACAATCCAGTGACTGACATCATGTGCATCTACGCAATTTGGATACGATGACATGCATCAACAGAGGCAGTTAGCCTGACCACCCGATTCCGTTAGTCGCCTCTTACAACAAGCATTGGTTGCTGAAGATGATTCTAACCCGGATCTTCACGGTGGACAATCATTGACAGTTGTAGGCCATAATATAAATTAAACATCTTTCTCTATGATATATGTTCGAATGACTCCATGACCCTGTCCCGATCACAAGAGTTCTAAGAGTTCTCGTCAATGTTTCTCTGAGGAACAAATCCAATTCTCACCAAAAACAGATCTTCACAATATAAAATCCAGAACTGCATCCTGATAGAGCTGGATTCACATAGACAGCGATAAACAAAAGTATTACATAATAGAAATGTCTCCCAACCTACCTGGTGTGGAGGACGCCTCACGGTAACATGTACACGGAGCTGTGGCGATAACAGACGTGACCTACATTTACAACAAACATGTCAAACCTGAACTGGCTAAACATAAAACTAACAAGAACTAACTAACTCACTAACAATTTACGTGCGCTTTCCGACATGATGCATATCAAAGAACTTGAAGGTGGGGGGGGGGGGGGGGGGGGGATATCATACCAAATATGATTTACAGTTCTTTTTTCAGTGTTCAAATTACAATGTTCTTCAAAATGAAGTGTATGTTTTCCAAACAGTGCTGCACGAAAATTCGAGGAGGAGAGGGTGTGATTTATTTTTTATAGTGTTATAGGACGTGTTCAGGTGTTTTTGTTTGGTCGCGGTGTGGGCATTTGCCCGTTTGGGGTTTCTTACTTTTACGTAGGAAAGAGTGTAGTGTTGTGTGGCCTGTTTGTATTTCACGCCTGCCCAGTCTATATTTCAGATTTATGGTAGATTTTTAGTTTTTTGAGTGGTTTTTGAAGTATCTGTTTTACAACTTGCGTTTTGGTAACTAGATTGCCACTGTTGGCAAATATTTTGTTGAGAGATTTTTGTTTCACTTTTAGATATCGGTAGGTGTAAAATTTAAGCTTATTTCTGGTAGCTTTAGGGCCGCTTTGGCTGCTTGGCCAGCCAAACAGTCCGACGTGGGCAGGGATTCAAAGGAATTCTACTTGTTTTCCTTGGGTAGTGAGTTGTTGTGTGCTTTTCAATATTTGGTTTATGTGATGTGTAGAGGGATGAAAGGGTCTCCTTTGAGGCCCCCCAATTTGAGCCTGCCAAGCAGCGGAGGGTATTTTGGTCCTTCGTGCACCTATTTATTACATTTCTAGTGTGGACATCCCAGGTGAGATGCTCATCGAAGATAAGTACTAGGAATTTGGTTTGTAATTTGATGGGATTATTTTGTTGGTAAATTAAGTAGGCAATTGGGCGCAGGTTATTTTATGTTTGAATACTAAGCCAATGTTTTTTTCGGCATTTAGAGAAAGAAACACATTAATGAGCCCATGTTTGGACTTCATTTAGTGCCTGCTGGAGTAGTTTTTTCCACATGTTTATGCTTTTGTGTGGCTTTTTGGCGTGTTTATAATATGTACATTTTGAGGTTTTTACTTTGGGGGAGATTCCCTCAAGAGGTCATGTACAATTATATTGAAAAGAGCGGGGCTTAGAATGCTACCATGTTGCGTGCCAGGGTTATTTTAGGGTATGAGAGGAATGTAATGGTTGTAATTAATTATTAGTCCAGAGGCCTGAGTTTTAAGCGTTTTTGGATAAGCCCGTTTTGTATAGTGGCGGTACACCTGGTCCGCTTTCATATCCTGCTCAAGGCTGGTGAGGTTGTCCAGTGTAGAGCGACCTGGTGAAGCCGCTCTGTTCCTGGTTTATTAGTTTATTTTTGCCTAGATAGTGCCTGAGCCGGTTTTTAACCATGGCTTCCATTGTTTTGCATAGAAGAGAGATAAGGGAGATTGGTCGATAAAAGTTTGTTTCATCAGCCGGTTAATTTGGCTCTGATATTAGGATGACCAAGGCCTGGTTCCGTGATGAAGGAACCTGGCCGTTTCGTTAATCTAAATTACATAGCTTTAATAAGGTTCTTAGAAGTTTTGGGGGACGTTGTTTGATTATTTGGTAAGAGGTGAGATCAAGCCCGGAGACTGTTCCCTTTTGCAATTATTAAGTACAAGAAGCAGTTCCTCCATTGTATAAGGGTGGTTTATTTTGAGGTTATTTTAGTGTGATTTTTTTAAGTTTTCCCAGACAGCCTTGTAAAAGAATTTGATTTCTTGTGAATTACTTGGGTTGCTAATGTCTCCAATCGTAATTTGAAAAGGGAAATGATCGCTGCCCCAAGGATCTTCATGTACCTCCCACTGAGTGCATTGGGCGAGGTCCGGGGTGCAGATGGTCAGATCGAGCCATGTGCGTTCCATTGTAGAATATGCAGTCCCGCCATTATATAAAATGGGGAGGTAATGCAAGATTTAGAGTTATTTTTTTTGGTTTTCCTTATTTGTTTGTGTGGGTTTTATTGTAAGATTTGGAATAATTGGTTGTTGAACATTGGGAAGGAGAGTGTAGTTAGTTTTAGTTTGTGAGCCACCATTTGGAATGTTTTTGTACTGGAGCTAGGTGACGTTTGCTTGTGGGTGTATGCAGGTTTTCTTGTTAAGGGCTGTTTTGCGTAACCGTGTTGTTGATGTTTGAGAACTCAGAGAAGAAAACCTGCCATACCGAATTTGTAACTGGAACCTGTCTTGTGGTTTTCCTTGAGCTTTTGCATGTGGTGGTTTTGTTGTAAGCGGTGCATGTTTTTTTATAGTTTGGAGTTTAGCTGTGTTGATGTCTTTGTGTAAGTGGTTTGCAAGTGAGGTGTGTGTTGTTTTACAGTGTATGCACCAGGGGGTGCATGGTGCAGTTTGGTTGAGTGCATTTGTTACATTTACTTACAGTAGATTTACACAAGGAGGCTATGCGGTGGTATTTTAGACATTTAGAGCATTGCTTTACGGGTTTACGCCGTATGAGATGTTGGGTTATTGGGGTGTTTCGGGGTGTTTCGAGGCGTTACGTGGGGGTAGGATGGGATTTTTCGTGTTCAGTTTATGCGTGAGGTACTTACAATTCATGGCTGTGAAAAATGTCGCGGTCTGCGATTGCCTCCCTGGAAAATAGTGGGAGGTCGTCGTGGTGTTTACATGAATTACACCACGGGTGTATTTTTGCCAATTTGGCCGGTCACATCAAACATTGTGTTTAAAGATTTGTCGAGTGTTTGTTGTTTATATTCCAGCTATATGACGGCGGTCTGTAAATAATCGAGTCTGGACCAGACAATCCTGTGATTGACATCATGAGCATCGATCCACGCAATTAGGATACGGTGACATGCATCAACCAAGTCAGCGAGCCCGATCCCGTTAGTCGCCTATTACGACAAGCATATTCGCATTTGTCGAATGGATTTGGTGGAATTAAATGCCTCTTTGATGGAGAAGATTACCTGAAACCCTTTGTTTTGAATTTAATATTTGAAAAGGGAATTTTTGTTTTGTTTGGTGATGTTTGCCTGCGTGAATGTTGGGGTTTGTTTTGTCTGTTTTGGTGTGGTGTTTTGTCTGTTTTGGTGTGGTGTTTTGTCTGTTTTGGTGTGGTGTTTTGTCATTAACTTGCGGGGGTAAGAGATTCCTTGGTGCGGATGGATGTGTTGTGGGATTCCATCGGTGTTGGATTTTGGTCCCCATTATGGTATGTAACTTTGGTTTCGTTGTGGTGTGAGCGTTGTGGTGTTTGAGAGTCTGATGTGCGGATGTCTGCCTCGACCGCAACACTGTAACTGACCGACATGATTTTAGAGAATTGGATAGATGAAAGGAGGTAATATTGGGTGGTGGTGTTGCAGGAGAGGAGTTATATATTCTATGCTGTTGTCTAGTGTTCATCTGTACTGCCTGGATGAAGATGGCGTTATAGTCTGTGTGTGTACAGGGCCCGGTATAGATGAACCAGCCTTCACAGGTACTGCACTGCCTATAAATATGTTGCAATGTTTAGTCGACAACCTTTTCACCATGGCAAACGCGAAGTTTATTTGTGAAGGTCGAGGTGGGCACTACTTGTTGTTCATGTTTTTTTCTTCAAAAGGTGGGTAATCAGACCAAGTGGAACTGACAACATGTTCGTGGCATGTTCAAGCGTCAGTTGGTTGACGGTGCCAAGTCACTGCTGGAGTACCTGGACATGAACATTGTGCCTCACTTTCCCGGTTACTGAACTCGTCATTTAAAGTTATGATGAGTGAGTGAGTTTGGTTTTACACCACTTTTAGCAGTATTCCAGCAATATCACGGAAGGGGATACCAGAAATTGGGTTCACACATTGTACCCTTGAACCGAACCCGGGTCTTTGGCGTGACGAGAGAACGCTTTAACCACTAGACTACCCACCGCCCCAAAAGGTCATTATAAAAGATGAAATACTATGTTTGAATAAATATAGAATAGTTATGAATGTATAGTAATGAAAAAAATGTCAGAATAAATGTTTTTTATTTATTTATAATTTTATAGTAACAATAAATTATAGTAGTCAATAAATGTCAATATAAATTAAGAAATAAATCTAAATGTGACATGTATAAAATATATATAATTCTGTTTCAAACTAACAATGCAGCTTTGTTCATTTTCTACGTCCGCCAAGGGATGTCACGATACATCCTAATTGTATCTCCTGATACTTTGTACACGATCCGATACGTATATCGATACTCAATTCGCGGCAATTTTGCGTGACGCTGAATATTTAATATTTATAGGGCATAAACACTCTTAAAAAGGCTTGATTGACTTCTTGAATATGTTTGAATATAATTACAATTATATAATAATATATCTGAAATGAAAATGTCAATCAATACTTTATTTTTTAGATAAGGATGTTCTATTATTCAATAAAATAGCAAATTCCCCTTTCACAAAGAACTTTGATGTGTGCCCGAAATTAAATATACTACTAAATGTGAATGAAGGGGTCCATTCGTGAAACGATGATCATACGGATACATGACCTGAACACATGGCCAGTCTTATGGGCACTCATCCCCTATAATAAATCACCAGTCCCTTCTAAGGGCACTTCTGACATCTCAGAACTGAAGTAAACCAATAAATGTCAAAGATCAGATCAGACTTAAATAGACAATGGCTTACAGAGAAATAGTTTGGAAATTCAGCACAATAGAAAAAAGCTCAATTGCAACATGCCATAGACATATGGAGCTGACATAAATATAATAAACATACATCAATCAAATTTTTTCAGGTCATGTTTTTAAAAATGGCATCACTTTTCAACACATGTATGTCACACTGTCCCCTTGGCCAATACTGTTATATAAGCAGTGTCGATATGATTATGTCTATTGAAAAAGTCTGAAGCAAATGATCAACTCGTGCTGGGGTCTTGATTCATACAACTTGACTACAACGTTAATGCCCTGAGTATTGTTCAATGAGTTAATTATGTCAGTGACGTCTTGTTATAGATCTGTATTTCTGCAAAAAAAAGTTCGACTATGAGGATTATGGCCCATGTGAGTAAATGTCAGGGGTCAAGGTCACGACGGGTCACAAGAATGTGGTGTACCTGCCGTTGTCATCAAAACTTGTCACCACCGGATTATCTATCCCACCACTGGAATTTGCAGCGCCATCAGACAGAAGCGGAGTTTCAAACTGCTCCGTGTTGTGATGCCCACCCTCTGTCGATAACTGTCGCTGGGTGTAACTAGCTGCTGCATTCTGGGTATGACCCGGGGTCACCCCGCTGAGAGATTTGATACTCCGCGTCTCCGAGTCCGAGTCTTCGATGAGATCCTCCAGAATCTCTTTCCCGGGAGCAGTGTTGAGATCTTTCGGGACGTGGTGAGCACTGTCCAATCTCTGGAAGACCACTGCTAGACTGACGGCTGACTGACTGACTGGCGGCCATGAGGGATTTCCTGCTATGTCTTCTTCAATGGCAGCGTATTTGGTCTGCGCGGAAGGGAGAGAATGTTTTAAGAAGTTTCGACAGCTTCCCTGGAGAGATGTGTTGTCCATCACGTAGGTCTGTTGACAAAGAAATAGAGGATATATCACTTATGTTGTCACCTAACCTGTTTATCTGATCGGTTGAGGGGCATATGTTATTTCATATGAACCCAGTGGGGATTCCGAGTTGGAACAGATTCCCAGCAACCTACGCTGGTCGTTAGGGGTGACCAAATAGATCGGGCGGTCAGGCTCACTTGGTTGATGCATGCCATCTTATCCCGATTTCGTGGATAGATGCCGTCATAGAGATGTAATATCGCTGTGTGTAGCAAACAAACAGACCAAAGAGGTATAAGCCCTGCATCGCTTCAGGATTTCCTCACACATTAAGCTGACACGCTCTGTTTTACTGAAATACTGTACAAAATTCTGTCCCTCACATCGACTACTCACCTCAACCAGGATAGAAAGCAGGCAGTTGAAGAGGGCAATGCCGACGTGCACCATGGCGTAGGGTATGGATGGGAACACCAGCAACTACAACATCAGAGACACAATGTAATCAAGAAAAAAAACAGCGATTAGCACATTCATTCTTGTCTCTAAATATGCAGATAAGGAGATAACCATTATGCGTTTTCAGAGTTGCGGTTGTTATTGTGAATTTATCCCCGGAAATAATTTTGGGACCCGATGTTAGTAACCGCAGGTTTAAAAAATATGCTACAATTACTAACTAACACCAGCAAATATGAAAACACATTGTTAAATACACAAGCTTATCCGTAATTTTCCGTAGCATTTTCTTTCATACTGAATTCTGGCAGATGTAAGACAAACATTGCGTCAGACATGACAACCGAAGCCAATTAGCAGAAAAATGCAAAACTTGTTGAATATTGATGAACATATAACTGTTATTATCGCTGTATCCATTTCGACAAGACGTCTGCCACAATTTTCAAATTTGTGATTGAGAAAATATACAATGTAGCTATCTAAGAAAGTAGTCATATGCACAAGATTTTCGGGTTTCAAATCCATTGTAACAACGGTAATCAACCAGAACAGACCACACACTCCCACACGTTATACGATGTGCAGTCACTCCACAGAATAAGCAGAGTACGAGATACGAAATCACATTTTATTTTGCATATCACGAGATAAACCAGTGTTTGAGAAGATGAGCAACACCCCGTAGCTGTCGTGATCTGATGACACACATTCAAGCATGTCACCTGAACTGAAGGTGCCTCTCAAGACAAGCCTGACCCCGGGGCCTACCTCAATGATGTCCGCTAGCCCCTGTGGGGGCTGGATCGTCACCCACAAGCAGCCGACAAGACAGATGGCGATGTTCATGAGGAACAAGTCTGGAACCAATCATAATAACTCTTATCTCAGCTTCAGTAATCAGGAGTAACACTGAATATTCACCTCATTAAAATTAATAATGTATTTTCGTTCCGTTTTTAGCAATATTTCAGCAATATTGCGGTATGGGCTTTGTCCATTGTATAAACATACAGATTATATTGCGTTAAAATAACTAAATTAAATAAGTCAAACTATTCTCTCCAGCCAGTACGTCAGAACTCATGCTACCTCTTACAAATTGAGTCACAAGGGAGGAACCTCCCCCCAACCTTGTTAATGAAAGAATATCAATGAATTCCGGTATGTTTTCATTTGTTATTTTCAAAGATATTCAAAATCTACATACTTATATAATGCAACCTACTAAATATCAACATATGCTTCGAAGTAAGACAATGTTTTTTTAAAGAATTTATTGTGAAAACTAGGCAATTTTCCTAACCAATCATGCACAGGTAAACACAGATGTGTATCTCACAGGCCATGTTATCTGCCACAGCAAAATAAAGTTGCCCTCTGTTCTGAAGATACCAGCTATTTAATATCTTTTGTTAGTTTGAAAATACCACCTTCCTAAGTGTCGCTTACAGTTTGAAAATATGGGCTTCCTAAATGGCGCCCCCTTGGAAAAAGCGACGGCCAGAGTGATATATTGATACGAGGAAACCAGAAAGACAGCGGAGTTCTCATAGCTGACGTAGTTGTCGTCCTCGTTGTCGATGTAGGGTACAAACCTGCAACAGTGACGAGAGACATGCAAGCATGACAAGAAACATGCAACAGTGATAACAGTGAGTGAGTGAGTTTGGTTTTACGCCGCTTTTAGCATATTCCAGCAATATCACGGGGGGGGGGGGGGGGGGGGGGGACACCACAAATGGGCTTCACACATTGTACTCATGTCGGGAATCGAACCCGGGCCTTCGGCGTGACGAGCGAACGCTTTAACCACATGACAGACAACAGTGACAACAAACATGCAAGAGTGACAACAAACATGCAAGAGTGACAACAGTGACAAGAAACAAACACTGACGAGAAACAGACAACACTGACAAGAAACGGACAACAGTGACATTAGTTTTGTATCTGTATGAAACCTATACTGGTAATAAATTGTATGAATTTGTCATACTGGACATACTGGAATATTTTAAATCGATTACACTTTTGCGTAAAAATGAAGCCAGTATGACCATTGCATTTTATTGTTTATGAAAACCTGTAGTTTCTAACCTTCCAATGTAATAGTGGTTTATAGTACCTGAAAACGTTAAATAAACTTCCTTGAATACAAAATAGATTTGCATTTCACTGAAGATTGTTTCTTTCAGCTTCGAGGAACACATCACCAGCACAGAAAATGTGGCCACCAATTTACCTTAGAATGTTATTTACATGGACCCATTATCTGAATGTTATGTCAGGTATGCTTCCATGTTGGCCAGTTGTTATAAAAAAACTTATGCCAGACTGTTCATTGAGGGATAATAACACAATATATATATTTGTTCCCTTTCCATGTCATAGGATCCCTTTCCATGTCATAGGATCCCTTTCCATGTCATAGGATCCCTTTCCATGTCATAGGATCCCTTTACATGTCATAGGATCCCTGTACATGTCATAGGATCCCTGTACATGTCATAGGATCCCTGTACATGTCATAGGATCCCTGTACATGTCACAGGATCCCTATATATTTATCATTATCAACTCCCACGGGGAACACACAACCTGCATTGCCCATTTTGTGTTAAAAACGTATTAAGAAAATGGCATTATAACCTGGAAATTGGATCTTCAGTCCCAAAATGCATTGGCATAAACAGGATGGCATTATAACCAGGATGGCGTTATACCCAGGATGGCGTTATAACCAGGATGACATTATAACCAGGAAATGCTGCACTGGGGAAATCTCTTCCGAGAAACACGTGACATAAAATCCAGGGTTGCATTTTAATCAGAGGACTGTAAACGATCCATAACATTTACATCATACATGTAGGACACCAATACATATTTTACAATAAATTTACAACTTTATACTTTTAACTCAATTACTTTTACATAAGAATTATTGTGTCAAACATTTGAATAAGATAATATGATTCATCATCACTTAGCAGCTGACAATCACATTTTCAAGGTGTGTGTGTGTGTGTGTGTGTGTGTGTGTGTGTGTGTGTGTGTGCGTGCGCGTGTGGCGGGGGTCCTAGGGTTTAAAAAACAGACCAAAACATGTTGTGAAAATATTAGAAAATAATATATTTGCTGCTATCTGGATGCAAAAACCAGTTGTATAACAGTTCGAATATAAAATAATAAACCTGACGCTTGGGAAATGGGGAAAGAAATGGTTTGTCTTTGCCTGTCGCTGAAAAAGTCCACCTGTCCTAATAAAAATTCCAGCCAATCCCCATTGCAAGTTTTTAAGTTTTCAAGGGTTCAGTGTTTGTTTTGTTTGTTGATTAACGAAGTTCTCTTCCCAAACCTCGTTAAGCCAGATATAAACAACAAACACACAATGTGGCGTCCCCTGTAGCACTCGCCGAGGCATTTACTCTGCATTGAAATTTCATTTTACAAACACCAGTAGCGTCACTAGCCTTGATCCATATAATTTCAGAACCACGCCAGTGACCGACACTGAAACATCGTACTGTACGACACATGCATGTACCAGGTACCATCCATACTTTGTGGTTCAGAACCATACTCGTCACTGTGACGACATTTGTCTTGCAGCAACACCTGACTGCCAACACCTGACAACAGAAAATGTTCATAACCATAATGCACAGGACATAAACATAAAATAAACAGACGGCACTGTAACGGCGACACCACAGGAGAGATTAAACTACCCGGGCTTTACAATTCCTATGTATACCCCTCAGGGTTGCGCCCTCTACCGTGAATAACCTCCCTTTATATCTGGCTTTACCTTCAAGAAAAAACAATTTCAGTCTAATTCACTCTGTTCAACTGCATGAAATTTCATTTCTCTTCCCAAACCTCGTCAAGCCAGATATAAACAACAAACACACAATGTGGCTTCCCCTGTGGCACACGCCGAAGCATTTACTCTGCATGAAAAACAAAGAAAGGGTTTACAGGAAAACAACCTATATGACAAACCCAATCATTTGGACACACTTAATCTGGCTTTAACACTGTCTCTGATATACCCATCTTTGGCATTCTCACTCTTCCAGCGCCCGTGTCTCTTAAAAAGACGGCCGGGTACACCATTGTTTGCGCAGTGCATAGGAGCAATTGGCAACTAACTCGGCAAACCATGGGAATCTGCCCAATCAGAAAATCTCTTGAATCCCAATTTGTATGACCTCACTGTAGAGGCTGATCTATCCTCATTTAATATGTTCAAACCTTGTACGTTCGGTTTTAAACTTTCTTGGAGGGTAGATATAACATCATATACAATGTCTAACATATCTGATGTAAAAGTATCCACATTCTCAGAATTAGGGTTCCATTACCTAGAATCTAAACGATTTATCTTGTTGTAGTAAGAAGCAAAACTATCTATTGAACTGCCCAGTCATATCTATCAGTCAGCTTGCTCAGAACATCTGCTTGATCATTTTGTTCTCGGGGAATCCAGTCTACTTCCAAACGTATACAGGATCTCAAACACAACTGCCAGATAATTAATGCAAGATTTTGTAAATGTGTCATCATGCTACCCTTTTTAATAATAGCACATACATTGGTATTATCCGTGAACCACTTGACTGAGTGAAAAGCAAGAAAAGACAGAAAACTTGTCAGTACCATAGATTCAGCCTTCAACTCTCGCCATGTTGAACGTTGATTCATTTCGCTTTCGGACCACTGACCATGTGCCAGCCTTCCACCAAACTGAACCCAGTAGCCACCGTGACCTACACCACTTGCATCGCTATAAACAACCCTGGTAGGGGAACTGTCTGAACACAACGATCTGGAAATGTTGAATATTGTCCCGCCAGAACACTAACTGTTCCTTACTTTGAGCTGACAAAAACAATCCAGTCATTCCACGAGTTAGCCGTCAGACAATTTGTACTGAGTGATCTCGTCATAAGTTAACTGAACCAATAACTGGTTTCATAGCAATAATTTGACCAACAAGTGAAGATACATCACAAAAATACACAGACCTACTGTCAAGGACAGAGAGATGTGATGCAAATGGAAAGCTTCTCTAACTTCCTTTCCGGTATAGCTGAAGTAACATGAAATGTGTTCACATGAAATCCTAGCCATTCCAAACTTTGTGAAGGCGCCCATAAAGTACAAATCCAGAACTTATAAGGTCATCTGTAACCCTATCTGATACAACAGCATAAGTTGACATAGAATTTTCAATAATAATTCCATCGTCAAGAAACATCACGTTCTTGAAACCGAGTTAAAATCACCATTTTACAAATTGCCGGGTTACCTTTGTAAAGGACATAGGGCGCAGATGACAAACCAAATGGTAAAACCACAAACTTGTAATACCTCCTGTCCCATGGCCAAACCCATGAAAAGCCGAGAAAAGTTGTGTGAGGAGTATGTATTTCAATATGATGGTACGCGGAATGTATATCGTATTTAACTAACCAATCACCAACTTTGATGTACATAAGAGCGATTTTCCAGTCTTCATATTTGACTGAAAGCTTAAACACATGTTTGATCACCACAGACAAATCAAGAAGTAATCTTTTCTTTCCAGAAGATGGAATAGACACAGACAATGGATTAACAACACAATGCCTCTCACATTCCTCCACTATTTGTTTCCGCACAAGATCTGTAATAGCTTCACAAACAAAATGAGAATTCCGCAACGCCGACATGTTGTTTTTTAATTCCACAGGTGTCGGAGTAGAATAAAATGGTATCTTGTATCCACTTACAATAACATCAATCACAAAATGAGTACAACGAATGTCACGCCAAAACTGTATGCAGCGTCCTAAAAGATCCCTCATTAAAATTTAAGCATTTCCACGCTCATATTCATAATAAGTTCAACTTTACCTTGTTTATTCTGACACTCTGGTCTTCCTTCCCGGGCGACTTGTCGGCGTGACAGTCTCGTCTCCAGTGGCTGAGTTCTCCGCACGCAAAACACGTGCCGTCTCGGGCGAAAAAGAAGTCCTTGAGATGGTCCCGCTGGATACGCCCCGCCCCCAACTGTTGCCTGCGTGACAGTCTCTGTCGGTCTAGAAAACTTATATGGGGTATATCTTGACGATTTTGATTTCTTTTTGTCCATTTTCTTGATAGCTCTGGATTCCGCTCTGGAAATACGCCGATCATCGGCGGAATCATCATCAAGATCATTACAGTCATATTGGCGACCGGTCTCCCAACCTCCATCTGATGAGTCGGATCGCTTAATCAGCTTATTTCTACGCTCAATGCGCGAGACCTCCGCACAAAGTAGATCTTGCAAATAGTCCAATTTTGAGTAAGATAGCAAATTTCATTTGTTTCAGATTTTCAGGGGTCTCTGAATTGAAATAATACTGAAGCCGGTGCCTTTCCCGTTTCCATACGAAATCTTTTTCAGTTTTGAGTTTCTGAATTTCTGCCGTTGTTCGAGCCAGGTTATCATGTAAATTTACAAGTTTGTCTTCAACAGACCTGTCAACTTCTTCTCGACATGTAGATAACTGCTGTAGAATATTATCAAGTTTCTTGTTTATATCGTCAGACAGCTCCATAACAGCTCCATAACAAAATGGCGATAGAACACGTGGCAAAGTTAATAACAACAGACCGCACTGAAACGGCGACACCACAGGAGGGATTGAACTACCCGGGCTTTACAGTTCCTAAATATACCCCTCACGGTTGCGCCCTCTACCGTGAATTACCTCCCTTTACATCTGGCAAGAGAAATCAATTTCAGTCTAATTCACTTTGTTCAACTGAATGAAATTTCATCACTCAGCAATATTCCAGCTATATGACGGCGGTCTGTGTAAATAATCGTGTCTGGATCAGGCAAGCCAGTGATTGATATCATGAGCATCGATCCACGCCAAAACTTCAATGGGACCTCAATTAATAAATTATTGAAAAATAATTTATAGATGTCGCCTTTTCCTTATAGATACGTTGACAAGTTACAGCCACAAACATTTGCTAACGAGGAGAGGTGAGGTGAAATTGGGTTTAACGTCGTGTCCAAGATTATTGCACTTATATAGCAACGTGCATGTACGTGTGTTTGTGTGTGTGGCTGCTTGTACTAGTCCGGACTGATGCCGATTTATAGTGCTAACTCACTGAGATACCATGCCGCAGTTTAACATGAATACCCCACTCAGACACAGTATACTGACTCCGAGCCGACCAGTCCTTGTTTTAGCCCCTTAATGCCGAGCTAATGAACTATCGTAATATTTTAGTAGTTAGTATTGGAGTAGTGGGATTCTGAACATGCTTAATAAAAAATATGGCAGGGTTTTTTTGTTTTCAGCGAGCTTATGTTTTTTTTGCTCCGGCGAAACCGGAAGTGAATCGTGTATATCGAGCGGTATTCTTGCTTTTAATAGCCGCGACGTGGGAAAGGAGTATGACATGATTCTTTTCAGATCAGTATTTCTACTGAAGGTGAGACCAACAGTTATAAAGCTTTCTGCAATGCTTTGCCACCGAAAACATATTAATTAATCTTGTGTGCACTTTAAGAGTTTCATTCTGCAATATTTCCAAGAAGTGTCACTCTGTTCACAACCCCTGGCCGCAATCCTTACAGCTGCCCTATCTGTCAAGTTTAATGGGTGGTGGATGAATTCGCAGTCCTCGCACATTTGTTTCACGTCATCAACAACACATTTTGTTTGTCTGAATGTATTATGTATATCCGCCTTGCATTCATGTTCGGCTCAATATACTCCTCAAAATTAGTTAAGGACCATCATATTCTTTCATGTAATTACAGTTAATACGATATAGTTTTATCATGCCATGATAGATTAACAACAGTAATATTAAAGAATCGGATGGTTCTCAACTTTTTGTAATTAGTATTAGATTCATACTTGGCACAAATGACAACAGTTGGACAGAGCCTGGAAATTAAAAGTTCAGGGTATGTTTCCTTATGGAATGGAATATACTGCCCTGGAAAATCGAGGATGGTGGTGGTACCTACCAGGGTTGTCTCAAAACATGGAGGAAGCAGTACACCTGTGTGGCGAGTTGTATCGCAATCTGTGCCAGTATGGACATGATGGGTGCAGCAGCTATCAGACTGAATGGCGGGAGTTCCTTGACCAGTTCTTCACAAGGACCAGTGCGACCGACTGAAACAAAGGACGCAATTAAAGGAGTGACAGTATACCCGGGGCTATGTCAACCATTGAAACCGCCTGATCAACAATCAGTTTGTCTCCTACAAGAATAAAACAGTATGTGGGGACCAATTCTGTCCGGCACTATGTTCGGAGGGAACTATGACATTGTTTCGTATACGAGTACCATGGTTACCCACATATTGATGGTTGTGCCCACCACAGTGTTACCATGGTTACCCCCAGTTGACATTGATGGTTGTGTTACCATGGTAACCAACATAGGGCATTGATGGTTGTGCCGACAAGTGATACCAAGGTTACCCATGTGATACTGTTGTAATGAACACAGAATTGACATGGATACCTACGCTTGATACTATTGGTTGTGGCAAGTGTTACCATGGCTACTCACGCGTGATATTGATGGTTGTGACGGAGACAGTGTTGCCATGGTTTACTTACATGTGATACTAAGGGTTGTGACGATGAACAAGTCGATTATGAGGAAATCGGTGTCTGTGAGATTCGCTCCGATCTGGTGGACAAGAGAGCAGATTAAAGGTACAGTATACTTTGAGGGTGAGGTTTTAAAACGTTGATCAAGTGTATTACTTTCCCTCTTATGATTGTGTTCACACTAACGTATTAGGTAATAACTGAACTTCGCCAAAAACATAAAATTAGTATTATTTTATGAACAATTATTTCAGCAAAATAACGGCAGGGGAATCAAACCCTGGTCTTCGGCGGGACAAGTCAACATCTCAACAACTAGGCTACTGTTACTGTCAACGTATTGGCGTCAGGACCAGTGAAGATCTGGATGAGAAATAGAGAATCTCACCCGAGTGTCTAAGTTGATAAAAGTGGAAAAACTCTGGGGCTTGCCGAGGGGTTTTTCACATTTATCAACGAGTGTTGATATATTTGAGATAAAAGGACGCGGGGGTGAGATTATATTTATCATCTAACATCATTTTTCAGTTTGTAGACAGAAATAAGCAGTGTCTTTAGTGTAAAAAGTACTGCTTTCAGCTTCAGTAGCAGAGCCATTAGTGATGTCATTTGATTGTGACGTCATGGTAACAATGACGTCACAATGGTCTCCAAAACATCGTGATGCATTTCATTGCAGCGATATCTACAATGTGGATATTGCTTGATCTCTCCCAAGCGATATCTCCCGTGGGAGCCAGTTTTGGATGATGATAGGTCTTCAGCAACTCATGCTTGTCGACTTGACTGTATTGTCCAGACTCGAATATTTACAGACCACTCTCACATAGCAAGCAAACAAACAAACATTGGTTGATGCAGTCACCAAGCCACCATCACATCTCTTGAATAAGATAGCGTGCCAAGCCACTGTAGCTCACCTACTATATATATACATTCAGAGGGAGTCATCCGTGTTGACAAGTCCACTGCTTATAGGGTGTGAAGCTGTAAGCAGGGATACTCTGACACAGGCTTGTACAAAAGTTTTAAATATTTTCATGAACTTACCGAATAATGTGGTTTGCGTCATGTGAGAATGCAACACTCATACAATTTATACTGACTCCGAGAAGTCAAGTCTTTATTTTACCCGTTATGCCGAGTGTACAAGAACCACTTTTAACGTCTGTTGCTATGATTCAGACAAGGAATTAAACCACCGACCTTCCGCTCTCTGGGCTTACCCGCCGTCCACAACACCACGGAGGTGGTTTCATTGAATAGAACGTGCATGCCAAGTTTCACTTCGGTGGATATATAAACTTAATATAAATGGATGAGCAATGTCCGAAAAGTACACTGTCAACTTGCTGACCCAGTATAGAAGCAGGACAGAGATGAACTGTGTCAGACTGTAACACGCCATGAACTTGAAGATCCCGAAGGACGTCACCAGTGCGGCTCGGCCCTGCCTGAAACCATGCAGCAATATGTGGTGTGACACATTCATGCAGGGGTGACTGGTGCATTACAGTCGTGCAGGGATAATGGATGAAGCGAATTCAAGCAGAAATAGTGCATGCAGTTTAAATCATGCATAACAGATCATGCATGTATAAGTTGTGTATTAAAACAAGTTATAGTGCATGCAGTTTAAATCAGGCATTACAGGTCATGCATGCATAAGTTGTGCATTAAAACAAGTTAGGATCAATAATTTATTTGAGCATTCAGGGATCAACTGACTGTACCAAGAGTCCAGAGATCGCTTGGACACAAATCCTTTTCTTCCTCTGCTGCAGTATTTTGGAACAAATTGCCACTGGTTTTCAAGACTATACCTTCTCCGTTTGCATCTGGACTTATGACACTTCTTCAAAATTGTCTACCATCAGTCAACTCTCAATTACACCAGAGGGCTGTATATATGTGTATTTTCTTGAGCGTTATTTTGTATATTTCCAATCCTTATAAAAGGACTTATTATTATTTTCATTGATACCTGATCAAGACATGAATAAATGTAAAGGATGAGAATGGAAATTCTCCTTTTCAGCTGAAACATCTTTGCAATGGAGCGTGGTGTTAATGGGGGAAGCCATCAGATTTTAACAAATTCGCAGATCCGGGGAAAAATTATCATCTCTGAATATACACCACACAAACAAAATAACCAAGGAACATGATTTTGTGGTAACACTGGCAGTTGAAAGTCTGATACAACACCTCACTGACATGGACCCAAATACTCAAGTGGCAGGAATGTGAGGAGTGCCCAAACAGATCCTTCAAAACAATATGCTCAAACATGGATAGGTACATTGTATATTTAATGAAGTATCATTGATGCATTAGAACATGTGGCATGTAGGCTTCCCACCTGATGACATTTGGGACACACTCAATGGTGGGCTTCTTGGATGTGAAAGGGGAGGCCACGGAAGCCTCAGCCTCCGACAGAGAGATGCCGGCATGGGCTGTTTTCAATGCTCCGCAGTCGTTAGCCCCGTCACCGCACATTCCCACAAAGTAACTAGAAAAATATAATTTAAAATATTTAGAAGACTTCAGATGTTTTAATATGTAAGCTTTATAACATCCACCTATAAATTTGAATATTTAAGCTAGTAAAATGTAAAATTTAATATTTCGAACGCTTACGAATGTCTACGCCTTATAACTGTCAACACTTATATAGTAACTGGGAAAAATAATGAAGAATTGTTTTAATTTGTCCCCAATGAACGAAACCAATGCATAAATTCCATAAGATATTTCTCCAAATGAATAGATTATGATTTCAGAATTCAATCTTTCTTGTCACAAAGAATTTCAAACTTTATCAGGCCCATCTGTGACGTGAAATACATCCGAAAAAAGCCCAATTATGAGTGAGTGAGTGAGTAAGTATGGTTTTACACCGTTTTTTACATTATTCCAGCAATATCATTGCGGGGGGACAAAGAAATGGGCTTTACACGTTGTACCAATGTGGGGAATCAACCTCAGACGTTTGGCGTGATGAGTGAACACTGTACCCACTAGGCTACCCTATCGACCCAACTGAACACTGCACTGAGTTGAAGGAAAGACATTACAGACGCTCGCCCCGTGGGGATTCCAGGTTACAAATGGTCCCCACAAACCTATGCAGGTTGTAAGAGGCGAACAAATGGATTGGATGGTCAGGCACAGTGACTTGGTTGATTGCTTGTCACCGAACCTTGATGGCGCGGATTGTTGCTGATATTACCAATCATTGTTTCACCTGGTCAAGCCTTGATAGTTTACACGCCCCCGTCATGTACCTGGAATATTGCTGAGTGCAGCGTTAAACAAGAAAGACAGAAAGAAAGACGGAAAAAAGAAAGAAAACAAAAAACAAAACACAACAAAAACCGCTCACTCTAATGCCTGCAAGCTCTCCACCAACTGCGCCTTTTGTTCTGGGCCCATGCGTGCAAAGACCGTTCCCTTGACAACGATCTGAATAATCCATAGTTTTTCGCATTATGAACAGTTTATTACGTTTAGTTTCTTCAGAGGTTAAGCAGTAAGAGATTCACGTCATTCCCTGTTATCAAGCAAGTGATGTGCAGAGAATGGACAGGCTAAAAACAGGATTCTCCACTCCAATGTAACTACACCCCATTCTACTCTAGTGTTCTGTATAACTCTGCCCCCTACCTGTGTATATATATACTTGTCAGCCATACTCTCTGCACATCACTTGCTTGATAACAGTGTGAGAACCTACACCGAAACGTAATAAAGAAGTTGCTTATCCCAATATCATATCGTTACATAGAAAGGAAAGCCTGGAAAGTATCAAAATATTACAATGTAAATCTTTTATGTTTCAAAAACTTCCTATAGGTATACATCTCCATATCTTTGATATTAAAATCATGCCAATCTTATTATATGGATCTGAAGTATGGGGTTTCCACCTATCCCCAGATGTTGATATAATTCATGAGAGGTTTTGTAAATTAGTATTGGGTCTTAAACGTCAAACCCCGAATAGCGCTGCGAGAGGGGAAGTTGGGATATTTTCCGTGAAGGTTTATCAATATAAGTGAATAATCACTTATTGGTTGCGATTGCCACTTGGAGTTCAGTAAGGCCGAAATGGGGAAAAAATGTTGGGCCTATGATGTTAAAAACCTGTTAAGTAAGTATGGTTTTGGAGACGTTCAGCCCCATCAAGGGGTTGGCTATGTTGATTTATGTATTGACCAATTTGTAAAACGCGGTAAGGATATTGATGTTCAGATATGGAACGATAATATCACAGCTTCTCCAAAGACTTTTACAGACATGTTAAAATATAATATGGTTTGGAAGATTATATTTTAAAGCTTTAGCTACATTTAGATGTTCTAGTCATACTTTAATGACACAAACAGGTCGACAGTACAATATTAACAGAAATTTGAGGTTCTGTCCATTTTGCATAGTCTTAATAGTAGAATCAGAATACCATTTCTGCCTCCAATGTCCATTCTATGCATATTTAAGAGACAACATTTTTCCAAAGTAATATTGTGTTCATCCAAACCAGCAAAAAACTTAAAATGCTATTCGCAAGCTCGAATCCGCCTTTACTAAACACTCAAGGGAAATAAACATACATGCATGAAGTAAAGTGTATTGAGAAGATCGATATATCAACATAATCAACACTGAAAATGACAATCATACCGCGACCGAGAATGACGTCAGAGCCCCCCAAAGTTGGGTGTGGTACAAAACTCGAGCTTTCAGAATCATGGACAATAGGCAGAGTACATAAACAATCGCTCACGTTCAATAACAAGTTATTAGTAGCGTGTGTGACCACCAAATGCCTCAATCAAGCAAAAACTCTTCGACACACAGAAAAAGTCAGTCGTCTAATGAAGTCCTGTGGGATTTGACGCCATTCTTCTTGGAGGGTCAAGATCAGTTCTTGCCGGTTGGCTGGAGAGTGTGGTCGTTGTCGAACACGACGATAAATCAAGTCCCAGAGGTGTTCTATGGGGGACATGTCGGGTGAGCGTGCAGGCCACGGCAGGACGTTGACGTTGTTGGCTGCGAGGAAGTTAGTGACAATTCTGGCTGTATGGGCTCTAGCGTTGTCATGCTGATAAATGACACCACGTGGCTGCTGTTGGAGATATGGTAGGACAACTGGACGAAGAATGTTATCCATGTAACGCTGAGCTGTCAAATTTCCGTCGACGATGACCAGCGGTGTCCTCTCCTGCCCACAGATCCCTCCCCACACCACGACACTCCCTCCACCATATGGTACGACCTCCTGCACGCAACACGCCGCCGTTCGTTCACCCCTTCGGCGGTAAACACGTCGTCTTCCATCAGCCCTAAACACAGAATCGACTTTCGTCAGTGAAGACAACCCTCTGCCAGTCACGTCGTTGCCAACGTCGTACAGTCCGGGTCAATCTCAATCGCAGAAGACGATGTTGCGCTGTCAATAGCTGTCCTCTGTATGGTCTAAAAGCCCTGATTACATGAGCCCTGAGTCTCCTGGCCACTGTCTGTCGACTAACCCTGTGTTCTAAGGCATTTGTCGCCGATGACGTCACTGTCAAAAAGCGATTTCGGAGGTGCAAGGTACGCAAGTACCGGTCATCATAGGGCGTGGTCACCCTGGGTCTGCCTGTTCTTGGCCTGTCAGCGGTCGGCCTTGTCTGTCTGTAACGTTGCATCAACTTGGTAACGGCAACACGGTAGCAACCGAAGGTTTGTGCAATATGGACGTGGGTGGCTCCCATCTGTACCATACCCAAGGCTCGTTCACTTTGTTCAACTGTGAGTCGTGGCACTTCTTTTGTGTTTTTTTATCACTGTGGATGTCTCACTTGCCGTTGCAATCGTTTTATACTCTTACCCGCACGTGCATTTGCAGTTGTCCGTGGTGCACGTGTTTTTTACTTTTTCGCGTGTTATCTCGCAAACATGTAACAGACGATTAACATTTTCTGCATTCACTATTGTTGTATTTAGGTTATGTGTTTTAGATAGACTTCATCGAAAAAATGTTTACACTTTTTCTGAAATTTATATTTTCAGTTGGTAAAGTTTCTTTTGGACGTCAGTTTATATTTTCTTAGCACTTAAGAAACGCAACAGTTATTTTAAAGATGTCATTAGTTATCCTAAGTAGTATTACTGTCCACTGTTGTACAACATTTTGGCGCTCTGTCAAATACATATGTGAGTGTGTATATACTTGTATAATGGGCCGGTGACCTCATTACGAAATAAACAACATCAACTATCGTTACTTAGACAAATCCTATGCACAAATGAAAAGAATTAAAATTCTGTACTTTCGAGTATAATGATCACCATGCTCGTTGATCACTAAGACTAAAATTCATGCCGTTTCAAGGCTTTCAACTCTCATTTTCAAGTCTTTTAGTTGGATTATTAGCCTTCGTCTGTCAATATGTTTTTTTTAAATGCAGCATGCTATATCAGTCGGAAGACCTAAAACACAGTATGAAAATCACTAATTTTCCAAGCAGATCTTTTTTCGCAACCAACAAAATGAAATAGATTAAGACAGTCATGAATTTTAATACGTTTATAAACATTTATATGCCATTCTGTACACATTCAAGGCTTTTCAAGCTAGTTTGGTGATTGTTAAGGCCTTTCAAGCCTGCGTGAACCTTGATTGTCTGTACAAGGCGCCTACATTGAACCAGGCTCTGTGACTAGCTGGATTGCCTGTCATCATACCCTGGCGGCTTGGGAGGATGCGGACAGTATAATCACTGGTGCTTCTGGACCAGCCTCCACTGAGGAATGGACTACAAAAACAAACTTGTCCTACCTTGGACATGAGATCGGGGAAATGCTGTCTGATGACAGCCCAGGACTTCCCTGTCAAAGCGAAATGGAACCTGTCGTTGTCCAGCTGCAGGGCTATGGAATCCTGTAAGTGAACAGTGAGCGAGTGAGTGAATGTTGTTTAACGCCGTAGTCAGCAATATTCTAGCTGTATCACGGCGGAAGGGAGACAATGTGAATGAGTGCCATGAAACCCAACTCGCTCGCTACACAGGAAAACACAGACCTTAGTAACCAGGTGCTTGAGTTAGATGAGCGAACACTTTACCCACAAGGTTATCTATTGCACCTTGAATCTTAAAGAGATATGGATGTAGATGTAGATATGGATGTAAAATACATGTGCATGCAAAATAATTCAGAATTTGAATCTACTGTTTACAAAATGACCTTGCTGTATTTCTTTTCCATCTCATCAGCGAAAACAAACTCAATTTCTGGACTAGTGTTGTCGTCCTGTGGCGGGTAGGCTTGGACAAGGACGATACGGTCTGTGCGGTCCACCATACAACACTCCCGGGCCACACTCAGGGCGGTCAACATGTTGTCACCTGCAGAAAACGTCAATGTACTTTCTTTAAAAAAGATGATATGTGCAAACGGTTTCAATACAATTCTGAATTAAAAAATAAATGAATTAAAATATTTCGTTGTTAAAAATAGAGGCGTGTTATAAGTCGGAAAACGTCCTCGCATCTGTCCCACGTCGCCAGATGAGTGCAATAATCATGCACCTCGCCCCTCGCCCCATCTGTCCATTCCCGAAAAAAGTGGACGAATGATCGGACTTTCTACTGTACGGAAGTGCGTACGTACTGTAGATAAAAGGCTTGTAGACATGTTTCTGATGGCGGCCTCCCGGAGCGTCTGGATGACAGGGTTCGTCTGGCTGCACCTACCTGTGACCATGATGTTTCTGATGGCGCCTCAAGTAGTGTCTGGATGACAGGGTTCATCTGGCTGCACCTACCTGTGACCATGATGTTTCTGATGGCAGCCTCCCGGGGCATCTGGATGACAGGGTTCATCTGGCTGAAACTACCTGTGACCATGATGTTTCTGATGGCCGCCTCCCGGAGCATCTGGATGACAGGGTTCATCTGGCTGCACCTACCTGTGACCATGATGTTTCTGATAGCAGCCTCCCGGAGCGTCTGGATGACAGGGGTGGTCTCTGGCTTCAGGCAGTTCTCCATCACCAGCAGCCCCAGGAAGTTGAGATCCTTCTCCACCTGCTCCCTACAAGGAGAAGAGAAACCTTCGTGGTTAAAGAGCCAGCGATCTCATGATCCCAGTTACCCCCAAGACTATCAAATGGTCAATCCCTAAGTGTACCCAATTTGTTGACAAACAATTACATTACAGGGCAGTAATATGGTAGTGCCATGTGGCTATAGTTGAAGTTATTACCGTGTTATTCTCTGGAGTTTGGCATAGTTGAGTTTCTGTGGCAGGGCCTTCCAGGCCAGAGCGATGACCCGGTAGCCATGCTGTGTGTACGCCATCAGTACATCATGGAAGTCCCCTGGTACTGAAGCAAAATACAGGCGAGGCTGTCTTAGCGCAAAGATTGTCAGATTAGTCTCTTCACGGAACTGTCTTTGTGCTAGGTTAGCTTAAGTGTGCGACAGAAAGAAAGAATTTCATGATTGTAGACATGTTTAAATAAATTGAATCAAATTCTTTCTTGTTAATGTTTTCGAAATGGAATAGTTCTCAGCTTACCTATATGTATAAATGCGCAATTTCTATGTCAATAAAAGCACACAAAGGAAATATCAAAATTAATAAATTAATCCTTAAGACAACTTTTAACAAGAATTTGTCAGTAAATGATAAACTCTTGCATGTATATTTTTAGAATTTTAATTATTAAAGTTATTCCAGCCCTGTACCCGTTTCAGCCTTGGAGAGACTTGTGATCATCTCGGGTGCTCCCTTCACAAACAGGTCAAAGTTGTTGGCACCCAGGTTGCGTGTGATGACCGACATTCTCTGCAGGCTGGAGGAGAAGGTGAACTGTCTCACCACACCGATGTCCTCTCCCATTGGCTGAAATTTCAATGTATACTGATGGGAAGAAATAAGGGAACAGATACAACGTGAATATGTGTTTGACACGACACAATATGTAAGCCAAACATAAGTTGATATTTATGGGCCATGTCGTGATACACCCATGGGGCCAATACCAACACTTTTGTGTAAATCTTACTTGAACACAAAGTAAACTTTCTTATTCTCTCTTGCTCTACGTTACTTTCGTTTTGTCCATCAGTATATCAATAGTTTAGAAAAAAATATTTCAGTTTTTTTAATAGAAACAGTGGCACATCTCCCTTGATACGCCCGAGGTACGGAAACATCACTAAAGACAATGGAGATTATAATCTTCAAGACTTTGCTCCCAGGTCGGTCTGGGTCAGAGATGCCCAGGTGAATGTACAGTGAACGCTGAACTTACCTGATTGCCTCCCCTTACGCGAGGATGTACAATAGTCGGCACAATCATGTCGAACCTCGTCTCCTCCTCACCCGGCTCCTCCAATACCTGAAACACGGAGTGAGTAGGTGGATGGGTGAGTGAGAAAGAGTGTATTGATGTGTGTGTGGATGAGTGTGTGGGTGAGTGAGTGCGAGTGGATGAGAGAGTGTGTGAATAAGTTTGTGTGTATGAGCGTGTAAGTGTATGGATGAGTGAGTGTATGGGTGAGTGAGTGTGTGTGGATGAGTTTGTATGAGTGTGTGTGTGTGTGTGTGTGTTGATGAGTGAGTGTGTGGATGGATGAGTGAGTTTGTGGATGTATGTGTGTTGATGAGTGTGTGCGTGTGTTGACGAGTGTGTGCATGTGTGGATTAGTGTGTGTGTGGATGAGTGTGTGGATGAACCTGTGTTTATGAGTGTGTGGATGAATCTGTGTGTATGAGTGAGTGTGTGTGGAAGAGGGTGTGTGTGTGGATTAGTGTGTGTGGGGATGAGGATGTGTGTGTTGATGAGTGTGTGAGTGTGTGGATGAGTGTATGTGTGTGGATGAGTGAGTGTGTGTGGATGAGGATTTGTGTTGATGACGGTGTGTGTGTGGATGAGGGTGTGTGTGTGTGGGTGTGTGAGCGTGTTGGTGTGTTGATGAGGGTTTGTGTGTGGATGAGTGAGTGTGTGAATGAGTGAGTGTGTGAATGAGTGAGTGAGTGAATGGGTGTGTGTGTGGATGAGAGTGATTGCGCGGATAAGTGTGTGTATGAGTGAGTGTGTTGAGTGATTGTGTGAATGGATGAGCGAGGGAACAGACGGAAGAGTGAGTGTGGATGAGTAAGTGAGCGTGAGTGAGCATGAAAGTGTAAGTACGCGTGCGTGCGTATGTGTGTGTGCGTGTGTGTTGATGAGTGAATGAGTGAATGAGAAGCTGTATGAGTGTGTGGATAATTGAGTGTTAGTGCTTGTGTAAGCACACATACACAAAGTATAACTAAAATCATGTTAAACCTCACCGACACACTATGTTGTGGGATGCATTCAGGACATGCCTCTGCACCCAGTGACCCACCAAGCCATTTACCCCACGTTATCGCAAATACAGCACAAGGGGAGTAATCGTGGGTCACAAAACAGCAATTGCTTGAAGCGTTCCTAAAATCCCCAACAAGTCACTTTCATCAAACCCAAGGATGTCTACTGGTGATTCAGAAACCTGTTGGCACCGTGGGAGGAACTCACCCAATCAACAGCCTCAAACATGATGAGATCCAGGGGGTCCCCAGTCACGTGACCGTCTATAATGGTGAGGGAGTGGCATGTTGCCATGGCACTGATGATCAGCTGATTGTGTAACCTGTTCATATTACGGATTTCGTGTTCGAACCTGTGGAAAGGGACACGTGTGGGTATTAAACTCCTGCAGTTTACGCTGTATCAGTAGAAGCCAATTGGGGACAAGTGTACTGACAGTTTGGAGGACAATGAAACCAGTCGTGTTGTGAGTTTGTTGTTTTACGCCGCACTCAGCAATTTTCTAGCTACAGTGATTGATACCATGAGCATCGACGTACGTAATGTGGACACGGTGACATGCATCTACCAAGCCAGGGAGCCTGATCACCCAGCCCCGTAAGTTGCCTTTTACGAGAGCATGGGTTGCTGAAGACCAATTCTAACCGTGTCAACAGAGTCACTCACACATCAAGAAACCCCTATTTAAATACAGTGGGAACGTTACTCAACTACTGTGAATGGTGAAATTAATGCGTCTACAAAAGAATGCGACCGCTGGCCCCTAGTCAAAAATGCGACTCTATATAGATTCGACACCCCCCTCCTCTAAAGCATCAGTGGATTTATATTTATATCTATGAGCAAGCAGAGATTACATTCATGTATTTATTATGATACCAAGTTTATCGCATGGTTCATCTTATCTTATAAAAACATAATATGAAAAATACACACTGCTTCTAATATTGAGGCATGGCACTTGACGACCCGCTCCAAGGGACACATCATTGTTTTCATTTAAAGGGGCTCTCGATTCCTTGATCTGATACCAGTTGATCAAAAATGAGGAGGACCCTTCTTGGGCCAAGACATAATTAAAGAAAAGTGGAAAACGTTTACAAATCACTCAATATAGTTTTCAGGGGGGTTCATATACTTCTACTGAATATACTATTGAGGGACTGACCATTTCCTAAAAAAGAAAAACACCTTGCAACAATGTATTTTTTGTTGCAGGCAATTTTCCTTTATTTTCACCAGTTTGAAGCATAATTATTATTTTCAAGAATTATCGGGGACAATTTATTTTTTTCGATAAATTCCAGAAAAACAGGACGAGTTTTAGCAGTTTGATTGCATTTTGCATGAAACCCACAACAGTGTTTGTTTCAGTTAACACTTCCGCTCTCGAACCCGGTCGCATTAAGGGGAAGTTTGTTTTGAAGAGTTTGGTATTTTTTTCCAAGGCTCAGCGAGCATGATACCATACGCTACTCCCCTTAAATCTACGGCCTGTAAATAATCGCTTATGGGCCAGGCAAACCAGTGGCTGATAGCATGAGTAACGGTCAATAATGTTGGGGAACAATGAAAGGTCACACATAATGACCACCGGGTTCCAATCAGCAGGTCAATACGGTTGGGGTATGACCAGTCACATATTGTAACCATCCGATCCTCATTTAAATCGTCTCTTGTGACAAACATTGGGTGATGGGGACCTATTCTTCCCCGGCATCCCAATGGGCCCACGGCGTCAGATGATGTCCAATTCACTGCTTACACTCCTTTAGGGGAAGGTGCCACGGCCATCATTTTCATCCCATCCTCCGTCAAGGTCCCTGTCTGAAAACAAACATCAAAATAACAATGGCAGGTATCCCAGACTAGCCCAGTGGGTAAAGCGTTCGTTCGACACGCCGAAGACCAGGGTTCAATTCCCCACATGGGTGTAGCCGATTTCTGGTGTACCTTCTGTGATATTGCTGGAATATTGTTAAAATCAGCGTAAAAGTACTCACTCACTCACATGTGAAATGGGGTTAAGGTCGCGTTCAAGATTATTGCATGTAAAACAGCGAAGTGCATGCACTTGTGTGTGTGTTCAAGATTGTTGCGATGTGCGTGCATGTGTGTGTATGTTCTGAAGCCGGTTTTATAGTGCTCGTCGATCGAGGTAGCATGGCACCCAGTTTAACACCCAGACCAACTATACATGGATATAATATGAAGGGCCAATGACTTGATTTTCAAATTTTATTAACACAACAGGAAAATATATTCGAGCGGAGTAAAATCACACTCTCTCACTAATGCACGCAGGATGGGACAATAACATGTGGACTGCAATTTCGCTGAGATTCTTGACGAATCGAAACACCAAACAGTGATATGAATATGTTAAAACGAGTGAGTGAGTGAGTGAGTGAGTGAGTTGGGTTTAACGCCACTTTTAACAATATTCCAGTTATATCGCGGCGTGTCAGCTTATTGTGGGAGGAAAGCCCGAAATGATGCAGGTGTCAGACGTTTACCACTTCGGCGAAACCCACGAGCACGGGTATGGTGCTGACAAACCTAGAAACATAATAGGGGCGAACCGGGATTCGAACCCACAATCATAGGTTTCTGGCGTGCCCAAGGGACGCAACTCTGCACATCGAATTGCGGCACCTTAGACGACTGGGCTCCCCCCGTGCCCGAAAGTTAAATAACATGCACGCTGTTCAGTAAACTGACCTTGTCGAAGCAGACAACGTTGATAGTGCCGCAGATGTTGATGCCTCGAGGGCTGATGCAGAAGATGCCGGCCTTCTTCAGCCGCTGCTGGGCGAAAACGATGCCAACGCTGAGGGCGGCAGGAAGGGCTGGGGGGACCGTTATCGTCAGTAGATCCAGAGTCCGGATGATGATGTCGCTCACAGTGTCGCCGTTCCTCACCTACACCACACACACACACACCTTAATATGACTGTTTTGTGATGATTGTGAAGCACGGGTGGTCCAGTGGTCTAAGGCGCATCTGTCCATGGGTCACAGATGTAAATTGATTAGTGGGGATTCCGGGAATTGTTTTAAAACATAATTTGCTCGAGAAAATATGGAAAATTTCACCCAAATACAAAATGTATTTTTTTCGCTGGACATGGTTGAAATGGGTTAGAGATTTGAAAACTTTAAATGTTGTCAGTGTGGCTTTTCGAAAGCAAATATCCGAAACACAAATATAGTTTGGCGTGACCCAACACTCACCATCAATATTAATGTGTATATGAAGCCAAGTGATGCGAGGAAGGCAAGGATACCGATGAACCAATAGGTGTCTCTGTTGAACTTGAAGTCCACTGGCTTTGGGAACATGATAGAGCGAACCAACTCGCCCTTCGCTGTCAGGAAGCCTAGAAAACAGGGACAGAACTCATTATTTTGAAGCAAGTCTTGCGTAACTCAATGGTAAAAGTTCATGTCTAACAGGCATGCAGCACAGGACCAAAAGCTGGGATGTTTGAAACAAACGTAAATAGAGTAGGAAACACAATGACCGAATATGTGTACAGAAACGGATATGATCTAACTTCCGCGATCATTTCATATGAAGATACGCCTTTGTAACATCGTTTCTTTCCCTATGCATTTGGTTCTCTTCTTACCGCTTCTGAGGACGACGGCGTTGACTTTATGGCTGCCGTAGTAGCGAGTCTGGATGACGTGAGTACCACAGAAGAGGATATGTCGGGAGTGCTTCTTGATGTCAAACATGGCTTCCTGGCTTGAGGCGTGCAGGGGGTTGGGGAGGGGCGTCTTGGTCACGGGCACACTCTCGCCTGGGCACAAATCACAGAAACATGGGGGCTGTATATCAAACCTTGTCTAAAAGGACAATATCGAACCCGATGAAATCATGTGACCGACACATTTCCGTATCAACGAATCACAGAATATTACAGAACTAGTACAGACCGTATAAAAATATTCATCTGGACAGTGGATGTTCGGGGTGAAGGATTCGCACATGGATTCGTACTAGCGAGGTCTTCGTACAAGGATTCGTACAAGCGAGGTCTTCGTACAAGGATCGTACCAGCGAGGTCTTCGTACAAGGATTCGTACCAGCGAAGTAGCGAGGCGTGTTCGAATCCAATATTCAGCTCAGCTATACTACTTGGTTTGTCAGCGCTAATCCCTTGCTCGTGGGTTTCATCAAAGTGATAGATGTCTTCGTCCAAAGTGATTTTGCACCTACGTCAAACTGACACGCCCTGACATACTAGTAACTAAACTAGTGTGAATATACCTAAAACCAAACCTACTGTGCCCCGAAACACTCTAACCTGTTACACTGTGCCCCAACACTGTTACATCTAACAATGTGTCCTCTACTCTGGAAGCTGTAACAATGTGCCCCTTATCTTGGCACCTGTGACACTGTTGCCTGTAACATGTAACAGTACTGTTACTGTCTTACAGCAGTTTCTGTATACTACCTGTCAGCATGCTCTCATTGACGATGCAGTTGCCGCTGACGAGGACGGCGTCACACTGCATCATGCAGCCGTGCCGGGGCACCTCTATGACGTCACCAGGCACGAGGTCATCTGACGATATGTCTTCGTACACTGAAATACGAATATAACAGTTTGATCTAATATTATTGAACCATTTTCTCGAATAATAACACGTTGAAGAAGAGATCATTTTTATACTGATATAGAATATGAGGTGATATATCCATATCTGTTTTTTTAGTTCTCAATGTGAATTTTATTTTGCACATTTTTCATCACACCCTGTTGATAAACGTCTGAAATACTAATGTTATCCCTTGGCATAAACATATTGATATCGAAGTTTGGTACAAGGACCTGATGTCAGACATGTCTTTGAACTGATAATGTCCGGAGCTGACGATAGGTAGCGCTGATTGTACTTACCGTCCCCGCCACGACACACGGTGACGATGGTGGAGGAAGTGATGGTACTGCGGAGCGCCCTCTGCATCTGGAACACAACAGTGAGTGAATATAGTTTTACACCGCTTTTAGCAATATTCCAGCACTTGGCTCTGCCCCAGCCCCTGCAACCCAATAGTAAGTGAGTAAGTGAGTTTGGCTTAACGCCGCTTTCAACAGTGTTTCACTTATATCATGACGTGTCAGCTTATTGTGGAAGGAAAGCCGGAAGTGATGGATATCTCATACATTTTCTACTTTGTACAGGTATATGAGACTGAAACACCTAGAAACGTAATCCGGTTTTTTTTGCCGTGATTTTAAACGGGCGGTTCAAACTCCATGTTTACCTTTAGCGCCTCGACGACGAAGACGACGATGATGATGATGATGATTATGACGACGATGATAACGACGTGAAGAGTGCTTACCTTCCTCGTCTGGTAGATGGTGATGATTATGGAGAGGCCAGAGATGAAGACAATGCAGCTAGCGTAGATGGTGTAATCGTCAGCGAACCACACAGAGACACTGAACACTTGGAACACGTAGAAGGGGGACAACACCTGTGTCGGTGGAGGGTAGAGGTTGTAGATTAGGATACTAATGACACGACGACCACGATGATGATGGCAGTGACAACGTCGCTGGTGTTACTGGTGATAGAAACGGAGATGTAGATGTTGATAATGAAATGATGACAACGACACTGATCCTAGTGTTGCTGGTTCTGATAATACTGACAGTTACGATGTCGAGGAAGATGTGGTTTGGATAATGAAATAACGACGATATTGCTGTTGCTACCGCTGCTGAAAAAAATCGTGACAAGAACGACGATGGTGGAGATGATGACAATTGTGACGATGCTGCCGCTGATAATTGAACATGACGTTACCGACGGCTCAAGCTGTCATGTCCTTGCGACCATGGACACTGACTTACCTCTTTGAACAATATCTTGATAATCGGTGCCACGTGGACTCGAATAGAGTTGATACCATATAGAACTTGCCTGAAAAAAACACACACACTCGTTCAACATAAAGGCGAAAGTACTTAGTGTATCATAACAGAAACAACAACGCAAGTATTCCAAGCTGAAAAGACTTTATGGTCTAGTGCCCGGAGAGTGTCTAGTGTCCGCAAGGTCGATCACCGACTGCGTCATACGCAAAGACGTTAAAAGATGATACTTGTTGTTTCCCTGCCTAGAGCTCGGCATTAAGGGGATTAAAAACAAGGACTGATCGGCTAGGAGTTTGTATACTGTGTTTGAGTGGGGTATACATGTTAAACTGTGGCATGGTATGTCGGTGGGTTAGCACTATAAAACCGGAATAATCCTTGTAGAATAATAAACTTGTAGAAGCAGCCACATACACATACGCAAAATAGGGGCGGTCGGGTAGCCTAGTGGTTAAAGCGTTCGCTCGTCACGCCGAAGACCCGGGTTCTCATCCCGGCATAGGTACAATGTGTGAAGCCCATTTCTCGTGTCCGCCGTGATATTGCGTGATAAAGCGGCGTAAAGCCATACTCACTTACTTACACACATACACTATACATATGTATATGTGAAATAATCGTGAACGCAACGTTAAGCTCCATTTCGCCTCACCAAGCTGAAAACATCACAATATCCTCCATATAAGTGAGTGAGTAAGCTGGTTGTAACGGCGCTTTGAACACTATTCCTGTTTTCTTCGGCGTGACATCTTCATGTTGGAGGTAGGCCCGAAGTGATGCAGGTCTTACCCGCTAACCACTTTCGGGAAACACACGGACACGGGCATGGTGCTGACAAACGTAGAAACATAATCGGAGCGAACCGGGAGTCAAACCCACGATTATTGGTCATCTTTCCGGCGTGCCCAAGGGACGCAACTCTGCACAGCGAATTGCGGCGCCTCACACGACTGGGCCACCCGTGCTCCCTGGCTTATGATCGTCCTTTGGTCACAAAACTTTTTACAGAATACATGATGCGTTTCTTATCTGCTTCAGTATGTACACATAACAATTATTGCAAGCGTCGTCGAGTCGAGCCGATGTACATATAGATGGGCAATGGGCGTATCCTATTGATAGCCTCCGGAAGGAGATTCTCATATGGATTGACCTGGATAATATCGAGTGATAAAATCAATGACAGTGAGATCTGTTCTGATGATATTAAACTGTTTTGAGCTTTCATGTTCGAAATTACCATACCTCTTTCTTTGCTCATCATACGCAAGGCCTGTTTGTTGGTAGAAGAACGAACAAGCCCTGTCCTTGTCAAACCCCCTGTAACAAGAGGAGCGAGTCAAGCTTATAGCACCTAGTGCGTGTTTGGTTTGTTTGTTAATGAACGCTGTATTGAGCAATATTCCAGCAACACGACAGCGGCCTGTAACTCCTCGAATCTGCCCCAGACAAACCGGTGATTGATAAAGTGAGCACGTTCCACGCCGTCGGGTACGATGACACGCAGTCATCCAGATCACCGATCCATTAGTCGCCTCTTATGACACAAGTAGGTTGCTGGGGACCAATTCTAACCCGGATCCCCGCGGACAGGCGCTGTATGAGTGACAGGCATGAGTTGGATTTAGGCAAACAATTCAAACAAGCTATGAAAACTGAATGAATGATTTACTTTAACACTGCTTTGACCATCAGTTCAGATATATCGTACTCAAATGGAATTAAAGAACACCTGATTTATATATTTATGGCATGACAGATTAACAAAAGGCATATGAAAGAAGCTGGTGTTCTTCAACTTCTTTTCAGTAGTATATCACGTGGTGTCAGTTAGGCGCGCGAAGAAAGCCCATTGGGTCACAGTCGTTGTTTGAACAAACGGGTATGGAACTGACAGACCCAGGGTCATAATCTGGGACTCGAACCTACGACCAGCAGATCCTGACAATACAGTCTGCATCGTGAGATTCGGAACGTAAGATCAACCTTAGCACTTACAACGTCAGAAGACATGATAGTCTGGTTCAGCTATACCATGACTGACAGTTTTAGTGTGTTGGGTATGAAACAACGGTAGCCCAACCGGGGGGCGACACTAGGCCAAAACAAAAACAGTATTTTCAGAAGACAAAAAAACATTGAATAAACTTTGTTTGTTGTTTAACGCCGCACAGGTAAATGATTTCGGTCTGTAAATATTCGAGTATGGACCAGACAATCCTGTAATTGACATCATGGACATCGATGTATACAGTTGGAATACGATTACATGCAGCAACCAAGTCAACCAGCACGACCACTCGAGCCCGTTACTCGCCTCTGACGACAAGCATTGTTTGCCAAAGACCTATTGTAACCCAGATCTTCACGGGTCGTGTATGGGTAGGAAACCACGCTAGCTCAGCCACGACGTGACTCTATGGCTGTGCACATGATTTACATCCCCAGGCAAACACTGAAATGATGTTTTCAGAATAACATTAAATAAAGAAAAGGTTAATTAGGATGCTATACATTCAATTGCTTCAAGGTATTAAAAGACAGTCTTTCGATGTAGTTTTCGATATTAAAGTAATTGGAAAGACATCTCACCTCAGTCGGGTAAATTCTTTCATTTCTTTGTCCCATATGTACTTGATTTTCTTACAAATAAAGTACCGTATCAGACCATCTCTCTGCTGAAAGAGAAATAGAAAAGTCACAGTGAACGCCCAAAGCTAGCACGAAAAAAACGCATAAAGAACCGTAACAGTGGCGGGAACACAGCCTTGTCATCAGCCGTAGCGAAGACAGTACACAGCCGTAACACTGCCCTTACACATTTTAGCTCAAATAAATTGTCGCCGCTGCCTCACCTGTTCATCTCAAATAGGGGGCACACACTTATTGACATTGTTAATTGAGTTGCTGCAACCAACTTTTAGAGCGTGTCGTTTTGTCGCTTGTTACACGGAATGGGTTTTGTGAATTAAAATGTTATGATAAAACATTGATAAGATGAATGATCAACTATTACGTTGTTGTTTTCAATAATGGAACAATGGCACCACTTTATATGAAGCAGGTGCTTTTTCATACCAGTATTTTTGTAGTCATATGAAAATATGAGTTCTTTAACTTCATTTGAGTAGTATATATTGGCTCAAGTTTTGGACCATACGAGATCGAACATATATAGATCGTATTACGAAAAAGAAATTCGTGTTGCATTATCAAATGTTTTTGTCTCTCCGAGGCTACAGTTGATGCTAAATCGGTCCATACAACTCGGGATAACACTCTGGATAAATCACGAGTAGTCACATCTCACCTTGGCAGATTCGTTGGAGGTTTGTGATTGATGCACGGTCTGTGAGTTCTTGAATGGCACAGTCTGCTCTCTGGTGGATGGCGTACATGACTTCATTCACACATTTGAACACGTTTGAAAGAATTACGGATCATTCATTTGACGCATTGATCTTCATTATGCTATTATTGACAAAAGACGTGAAATAGGTTGCATTGCCACACCAATGTGGGTTTTAAACCATGACCAACATTCAAAGAACCCTAGCAAGTTTTACACAACTTTGTTTTGATTTCCGTATTGAAAAGAGATATTCAAAACGTCTGTGCTTATTTGGAAAAACGCTGTGTGTGTCGCCCCTGGGTGATGCTCGTGAAATATGCCCCTGTGCGTTTGGCACGTGCATCTCGTTCTTTGGCGACTGGGTTTATGAAATGCACCTCCCGGGCCAAAGAAACAATACAAACAAAAAATGTGGATTTTTAAGGACGTTATTTTAAGTGCTATAAATTCGACTGCGTAATCTGGGAACATGATATTGTGGTGTTGGGTCATGTATGACCATTGTAAGCTGTGACACTTACTCCGTTTTCACTGTGGAGTTGAACCATTGCTTCCACTGGTCCTGAAAGAAAAGGACAAAATTAAAGACTTTACAACGCCTCAATTATGTACAACTAAAAGTCACCTTCACAAGATATCCATACACTAAGTAACGATATCTGTCTAAAAGCTATCGAAGTGATTTGCCTTGCCTTCAGTAACACTGTTGTAGCCTCGGCCAGTGAGCACCTGGAGTGGGTGGCCTTACCTTCAGTAACACTGTTGTAGCCTCGGCCAGTGAGCACCTGGAGTGGGTGGCCTTACCTTCAGTAACACTGTTGTAGCCTCGGCCAGTGAGCACCTGGATTGGCTGACCTTACCTTCAGTAACACTGTTGTAGCCTCGGCCAGTGAGCACCTGGATTGGCTGACCTTACCTTCAGTAACACTGTTGTAGCCTCGGCCAGTGAGCACCTGGATTGGCTGACCTTACCTTCAGTAACGCTGTTGTAGCCTCGGCCAGTGAGCACCTGGATTGGCTGACCTTACCTTCAGTAACACTGTTGTAGCCTCGGCCAGTGAGCACCTGGATTGGCTGACCTTACCTTCAGTAACACTGTTGTAGCCTCGGCCAGTGAGCACCTGGAGTGGCTGACCTTACCTTCAGTAACGCTGTTGTAGCCTCGGCCAGTGAGCACCTGGAGTGGGTGGCCTTACCTTCAGTAACACTGTTGTAGCCTCGGCCAGTGAGCACCTGGAGTGGGTGGCCTTACCTTCAGTAACACTGTTGTAGCCTCGGCCAGTGAGCACCTGGAGTGGGTGGCCTTACCTTCAGTAACACTGTTGTAGCCTCGGCCAGTGAGCACCTGGATTGGCTGACCTTACCTTCAGTAACACTGTTGTAGCCTCGGCCAGCGAGCACCTGGAGTGGGTGACCTTACCTTCAGTAACACTGTTGTAGCCTCGGCCAGTGAGCACCTAGAGTGGGTGGCCTTACCTTCAGTAACACTGTTGTAGCCTCGGCCAGTGAGCACCTGGAGTGGGTGGCCTTACCTTCAGTAACACTGTTGTAGCCTCGGCCAGTGAGCACCTGGAGTGGGTGGCCTTACCTTCAGTAACACTGTTGTAGCCTCGGCCAGCGAGCACCTGGAGTGGGTGGCCTTACCTTCAGTAACACTGTTGTAGCCTCGGCCAGCGAGCACCTGGAGTGGGTGACCTTACCTTCAGTAACACTGTTGTAGCCTCGGCCAGTGAGCACCTAGAGTGGGTGGCCTTACCTTCAGTAACACTGTTGTAGCCTCGGCCAGTGAGCACCTGGAGTGGGTGGCCTTACCTTCAGTAACACTGTTGTAGCCTCGGCCAGTGAGCACCTAGAGTGGGTGGCCTTACCTTCAGTAACACTGTTGTAGCCTCGGCCAGTGAGCACCTGGAGTGGGTGGCCTTTATAAACAGATGTGGCAGCCAGTAGAAGAAGAGTCGCAGCAGCCCGACCGTGATGATGATGAAGAACCACACGACAGCTGTTTTCAGTGTATGGGGCCTAAACCCGGAGATTTCCTGTGACAGTGAGTGAGTGAGGACATTTTACAAAGTAAAGTACTGAGTTTGGTACTGCGATGTTCGCTGCCGGAAGTAGTCAGTTACGATTCGTGCACGGTGGGTATGTCTTATCGTCTTGAAGTACAAACTGTGGGCCAGCATGGCGCGCAAACGCCACTGCTATTGGCACCAGTATGTTCTATCGATAGTACTGTCCAATGACCCTTCTGAGGACAATGTGCAGTGGCGTTCTGGCCGCCATAGTAATCCTGACCCAAAGCATTACCGACCCACCCCTAAATCTGTGATGTTGCCTCACGTTGACGTTCGTTGGCACGGCAATGCCTATCAAGGGAGTCAAGAGAGAATCTGGAACATCTGAAAGCTTTACACGAGACCATCGGCGATTCCCCCAGCTTCTACGCTCTAAACACTGGCTAGAATGTGACGGTTTGGTAACGGTAGTACAACAGGCGATCACTGAGCAGGCGAATTAGCTGCATGCAGCGCTAGGATTTTGTTTGGATATCATTTTTTCAGCTTCAGCTGCAAAACAAGGTTAAATCTATGAGCCTAAATATTATTTTGGGAGGAAAACATCTTGCATCAATGTTTTTTTGAGGCAGAAATATCTCTTTTTCTTTACAGTCTGAAGCATAATTATTTAAAAAAATAAAATCCGAGGTCCCAAAAATATGAAGTGGTCGGTTCCTTAGGACGATCATTAACATTTCGTGTCAACAGAAATCTGTTCTACGTTATGCAACTCATAGACTGAGACACATTGAACATATGACTACGTCTGGCTGAAAACAAGGATAGGTGGATTACGAGCATGTCACCACTGTCTCTAACCTCACGTAATGAAGGGACACAGTCAAAGATAACGTATTGAACAATGTGAGCAAGCCTACGGCTGCACTCGGCTTATTCCTTTACCTATATAATACTTCGGGCAGCAATGGCCTAGTGATATTGAAAGATTTACTGTAAACCGCATACCGATTGATCTCCGCAAATATATAGTTCGTACAACATCACGTCCGATTTGAGAAAAAAACCTCATTTTAATAGAAAAAATAGACGGTAAAATACAGTTTCGATATCACTCAGCAAGGGCGACGGTCGCGGCAAGGTTCTTTTGTGTAATGTGATAGTTTCTGATGAATCCTGTTCAATGTGGATTCCGCACCATGATGGCAGAGATAAACTATACACCACTGTGGTGAGCTGAGTGTGAGCATAGATATACTGAACAACAAAAGTTCCTGTGACATTGAATAAGATTTAATGCTATGTTTATGTTTTTCACCAAATCTGAAACAATTTCGGTTTGGAACAGATAAAAGACTCCTGTTAGTGTTCAAATGGTTTAATTTGCCATACTGACTTCAGAAAATCCGTTATTTCATAAAAAAAACCACGAACATGTCAAAATGTCAATTTACAAATCAATAGCGTGTGTGTCCACCTCTGTTTGCGATACAAGCAACACATCTTCGTCTCATGGAATGGACCAAGCCTCGCACAAAGTCCTGTGGGATATCTGTCCATATCTGCTGGAGCATGTTTCGAAGTTCCTGGAGTGTCTGTGGAACACGTGGTTGACGTCGAAGGCGCCGATCCATCTCATCCCACGTGTGCTCGATTAGTGAGAGATCAGGGGAGCGAACCGACCAGGGGATGACATTCACGTTGTTTTGTTGAAAGGTAATGCCTGGGCCATAACAACGCAAAAACGGTAGAACAACAGGGCCGATGATCTCGTCGCGGTAGTGCTGTCCATTGAGATTTCCCTCTACCACTATCAAACGGGTCCTCTGCCTTGCTGTAATCCCACCCCATACCATAACGCTGCCGCCCCCGAACCGATCTTCTTCCATGACACAATGATTGACGTAACGTTCACCTCGACGTCGGTACATTCGAATCCGTCCATCGCTGGGGCTGAGGTGAAAACGAGACTCGTCAGTGAATAGAGCTTGAGCCCACTGCATGGCCGTCCAGCGTAGACGCTTTCTGCACCACTGTAGACGTGCTTGACGGTGGTTTCCTGTCAAAATGGGACGTCTGGCGGGTCTTCTGGCGACAATCCCTGCACATCTTAGGCGACGACGTACGGTTTGTGAAGATATTCGTCGGAGGCCAGGGATGCTTCTTGCAGTCACTGTTGCTGGCTGGAATCTATTTCGTATGTGTGTTGTTCGAATCCAATTATCTTGTCGATTAATGGTTACGCGTGGCCTGCCACTCAGAGGATGGTCTTTGACTGCATTCGTCTGTTACCAACGTTGCCATAAACATCAATTGGTGTTTCTGTGGACGTTAAATTGTCTTGCAACATCGCGTTGACTCGATCCTGCTTCAAGCATACCCATGGCTCGCAGACGCTCATTTTCGGACAGGCGTGGCATTTCGTAATGTTGAATAATTGCGTAATTTTGTTGTTTTTCTGAGTGGTTGTTGTCAGCACGATGCTAAACAATGCAAATGGAATCCCGTTAACGCACATGTTTTTATACCCATTCTTGGGTAGTGAAATGCATAGGGCTTGCGTTTTTGTGACTTGATTCCATACATGTACTACAATATTAAAAACCAAACTTTACTTGTTTGAAAAATACACTAAAATATTGGTGTCACAGGAACTTTTGTTGTTGAGTATATATGTAACTAGCGTCGTCTTGGGACTACACTTGTGCACAATGTGGCTCGGCAACATATCCCCAGATAACGCATAAGCAAACAAACTGGAGCTATTTATTTTAACAGGGTGCTGGTGTTGTTGGTTTGTTGCGGCAAAAGTAGACCAGTCCAGAGTACATATATTGACTCTTCTAGATAACATGATACACTGTACTGAACAACCGGTCAAAAGAAAATACACACCCATGTTTGAAAGTGGTGAAACAAGAAGTTGTTATTCGGTGTTGATGTATTTGATACGGGTATCCTGGGCGATTTTACATTCATCATGGCAACGAATATCTCACAACAGGTACCTGCACATGACATCTCAAGGGTCGCAATTTTACAGTACACAGTTGTCATCGTATCCCAATTGCGTGGAACGATGCTCACGATGTCAATCACTGGATTGGCTGGTCCAGACTCGATTATTTACAGACCGCCGTCATATAGCTGGAATATTGCTGAGTGCGGCGTAAAACAACAAATTAACAAACAAACAAACAGTACACAGTAATGAGCAGAGTGAAGTTTGAATTTTCAAGTGAATACTTCCTTTTGTCCGGCAGTGTATTAGGTTATCAGGCGAGTGTTTTGGGATGGTGCATATGCTATATTTGGAATAAACTTTGTATTTAGCGAACCTTGGCTTGAGTCTGATTTTTTTTAAATGAGGTATCAATTTTCCAAGTTTAAAATACCAGGTATCGATTCCAAAGTGAGACGAACTCAAAACCTGAGTGTTTATTCCTTATACAGGATATTTACACATCCCAAAACACACTTGTGTGATCATTTCTTTGTCGTACAATGTCATTCTTCTGTTCTGTCGTTGTAAAAGTATTGATATCTCATCTCTCAGAAATTGTATCTATAAAATGCAAGTTTTTCTTGAATGCGCGCATTAACATGTTAAAGAGGCAATATGATAACGTCAGGCACATTATGTTTCCAGGTGTGTATTCTAGCACAAAAATAGTTTGTCAGAGATCGTAATACTATTACGTTACATGTGTCTGGTGTCCTTGACATAAACATTGTTTGTTTGTTTCCTTCCATTAAAGTGCTCTTGACATGAATGTGTTACCATCTGATCCTCCTCCTCTGGGTTGACATAGAGTCTCCCAGCCTTCATAGGCGGTGGCCCCGTCTGTGCCATCATCAACGCCGACCCTGCAAGACAGGACATAAATAACTCGAGTTATAAGGAGTCACAGTAAACAAAAATAGGGATGGAAAAGACTAACGTCAAGGGGAAAAGATTGTCAATGAGGTGAATAGACACACAGAAGAGGGATTTAAATAAAACAACAACACTATAGTATTGCGTTAACCTAACTGTTAAATAATGTCCATTCATTGAGTGGGTGTATTGGTTGGCTGCATCCGTCAGAGTAGTGAGTGAATGAGTTGGATTTTACGCCGTTTTGAACAGTGTGTCAGTTATACCATGGCGTGTCAATATGATGTGGGAGGAAAGCCCGAAGTGATGCAGGACATACGCGTTTACAACTTTGGTGAAACCCACGAGCACGGGCCTTCTACTGACAAACCTAGGAACATAATGAGGGCGAATCTGGGATAGAGCCCACGATCAAAGGTTTCTGAAACGCCAAATGAACCCAACTTTGCTCCTTACACGAATGGACCACCATTCGATTTCAAACTTAACTACACTGATAACAGTCATTGTCGGAGTCCCTATTGCCACTACACACCGCCTTCTTGGTCCAGTGAGTAGAGCGTCTGCCCGGAGAGCAGAAAGTCGGGGCTTCGATCACCGGCCGCGTCATACCAAAATAAATGGAGTTCCCATGTTAAACACATGCATGGTAGATTGCACTGTAAAAACTGTCTCAGTGCAGACTAGTACAAACAGCCACACACACACACGTACATGCATGTCGATATGTAGGTCCAATAATCTTGATCACGACACTGAACCCCATTTCCCAGTCACCTATTGCCAATGTACATTCCTAAACCTCCGTCAGGCCCTCTCGCAACCGTGAACCACATTGGTGCCCAGGGGAGTCCCCAGAATCCCATTCTTATCGCAAAAACTTCCCTAAATGGGGAATCGGGTGGTCACAATGTCGGACCCGGCAGACCTGATACCATCACACCATAGCGGCGGGGATCAAACTCATGTTTACAACAGGTTGCAATGATGCAAGGGTACAGCTGGAGTGTTGCTGACGTAGGGGTAGACATCAGACAAGGTATATTAAACAGCTTCTGTATTGTTGCTTCTCCTGATTTCGACAAGACCAGAATCGACTGTTCAGAACCCAAGATTTGGACACAAGCACAAACTTGTATAAACGCGGCCATTTATCAAATGGATTTGTAAATTTCTCTCGTTATGAATAGAACTAGTTCATAGTTGTCTGCAGTTGCCTCCCTTGGTCGTGGCAGAATCTGATTGGAATCCCAAATTTGCTCGGATTATACTGCTTGGTTTGTTTGCATCATATCCGTGTTTCTTGGTTTCACCAAAGTAGTAAACGTCTAAGACAAGCAACACTTTGAAATATTCACTTTTGAAACTGAAAAAAACAATGTTTCTATGTGTATACTTCCACAAACGCAAAACTATTTTAAGTCTTGTTTTGTAATTATTCCTTGCCTAAGTGGGAACATGAAGCTGGGGTAAACAATGACACGTCAGCTACATCTCAGACGTGTTCCACTTCATTGAAGCCGAGAAACATGATCTGGGCGAATCTGGAAGGCCAACACACTGGGGAAATGTAACACGTTTTCAATGCTCTACCAACAATACACAACTGTTCAGGGAATATTGCATTTCGGGGTCGTAAGTTTGTTGTCACACTGTCTCGTCTCTCCGGGTCACACAGCTGTCTGTCTAGAAAATGGTCTTTATTTATCATCATCATCATCATCATTATCATCATCATCAAGATTTGTATGTTCACGGCCACTACGAGAAGAAGTCAAATTTCGTTCACTGACAGAAATGCTAATATGCTTTTATATATTTCTGTTTCCTGCTTTGAAGTATGGTACATCTTTCATATATTTTCTAAATTACTGGTAGCACACTATCAAACCTTTGTTTTATATTCAAAGATTAAAATAAAAGTATATTAATACAAACGTCGTTTTGTGGAAACCTGGTCGAGGTTTGTGAAATGGGGAGGTGTCACAATAGCGACCTTTGCTTCGCTTGGGTCCAAAATCAAGGGGTGAAAAAAGGGTCGCTCTGGTGAGACAACTGTCGTTTTGATACGGAGAGCGTCTAAAAATACAAGAGAAGCACGCATTGGGCGAATGTTACGAATTTAAAGGCATAGCACATCGACTGAGGTTGGTCTCTCAGGAGTTAGAATCTGACTTCTCGGTGATTTGTATCACATTCCAACCAAATTCACATTCACAAGACATAACCTGAAACATGTTGTTAAAACATATGATCATAAATGGTTGTGTTGAATTGTCATTCACTGCCGGTAATCGGGCGAAGCAGATTTTGATCAAGCACTGCAATGACCTCCATGCATCGGTAACGTACTTACATTTATTTCAGAATTTACATTTCGATAAAAGTCTTCCTACAAACCAAAATGACGCCATCCAATACAGTTAAGAAACGTCCAGTTATTCCTTGCATAAAACGTCATTTGGTTTAGAAATATATCTAAATATAATTTATATTTTAGAAACTGTCTTGTAAAACACAGACGCAGTTTCCATCAGTTTAGAATTGAAACTGGACGACACAACAAACAACCAAGATTTGAGAGAGTGTGTTAACTGTGTAACAAATTGTATATGGAAGATGAGAACCATTTTACCCTTGTTGGTGATATGTATATCAGGAACTGTTAAATGCCAGCATTATGCTGTCTCAATCCTTCTTTAAATGTATTAAACATGCTCATGTCCAGTAAAAGTGAAGATAACTTCAAGAATCCTGCAATTCTATACATAAGTCTACAGAACTAAGAAGAGCTGTGATAGGACAAAATAGCATTGTCTCTCTGTTGTAACACTATGTGATATGGGCCAATGGCCGACACACTTTTGTGAATAAAGCCGACTGGACTCACTTCGACGTCGCTAGACGCGACCACGACTATCAAGTGTAAAGTGTAAGGTGAATCGTGACTCATCGGAAAAGAAGACTCGTGACCCTTGAAGATTACCACAGTTTGGACGTTGAACACCATTGACGTCTGTTAGCAGGATCACGGTTTGTAAGGGCGGCACAACACGTGGACGTCGAGTAGGGAGATGAGCTGCCTGTAGGCGATTTCTAACCGTCTGGCGTGTAACTCGTACTCAAGTAGCCTGATGAAAGTTTGCAGCAATTTGATTCGCCGTTTGGGTTTGATTTCGGAGAGCCTGGTTTCGGTTCAATCGGTCCTGTCCTGTTGTTGACCTGGGACGCCCTGAATGGTGTCGATCGTCATAATTTTGGGTTAGTTGGTACCTGTTCTATAGTCTGCTATTCACAGACTGTGAAACATCGGACACTGCACGCCAGTTTCCAGCATCGCAACATCTCGAAGATGCTCCGCGCGTTGCAAACGCCGCATCGTTAGTTCATACACAGACAATGAATGAAACCAAGTAAATCACAACTTATAATAAGCAGAATAAATAAGATTGACATAAATAATGATCCAAAGAGATTATTCGACTAACGCTGAAAGTGGCGCTACTGCGTGAGACATGTGCAAACTACAGGATGTGTTTTGGTGTTTCGTTTTACAAATAAAAACGTTCTTGCATAGGATGTTTGTCGTCAACACTGATCTTTATTCTAATACTTGGTGTTAACATTTATATTTCATGATCCCCTACATTTTTCATAGAGTATATAAGTCAGGATACCGGATAACTAGAACATTTTTCCAGGTCCCCACGAGTTCGACACAACAAGGATCGACTATATTATTACATATAATACACACAGGAAAGAACACAGACAACGAAAACATATATATTAAATAAAAACGTATTGCAGCATTAACAACCATTTCAAAACCGATTAGTTGTACGGAGACCCACATCATTTCGGGCTTTCCTCCCATACGTGCTATTACATTTAATTCATTAACTTTAACAAATGCAAGTTAACAATGTTTTAAGTCAGCATCGGCCGTTGCGAGAATGCCAGTTGAAGTGGATCATGCGTGTTGACGCACACTGAAAATCTTTTTCGTAATACAATTTTCTAATGGTCCCAAACATAAGTCAAAATATATAAGGACAAATGTTACTGACTGCGTTACAGCTATATTGATGATGTTACAGCTATATTCATGATGCTACGGCTATGTTCATGATGTTACATCTATATTCATGATGTTACAACTACATTCATGATGTTACAGCTATATTCATGATATCACTGCTATATTCATGATGTTACAACTATATTCATGATGTTACAGCTATATTCATGAGCATGCATCGTGAGCATGCATCTACGCAATTGGGATACGATGATATGCATCACCCGAATCAGCTAGCCTGACCACACGATCCCGTTTAGTCACCTCTTTCAACAAGCATGGGTTGCGAAATCAATTCTAACCCAGATCTGCACATGTCGATTTTGATATATTGCAACCCCGAAATACAAACACCATCATTGTAGGCCATAATATAATTTTAACATCTTTCTCGATGATATATATTCATTGACTCCACTAAACCCATAGATACACATCTCCATGACCATGTCCCAATCACAACTGCGTTCTAAGAGTTCTCAGCAACGGGTTCCTCTGAAGAAAAATCCAATTCTCACCAAAAACAGATCTTCACCATATAAAATCCAGAACTGCATCCTGATAGAGCTGGATTCACACAGACAGCGATAAACAAAAGTATTACATAATAGAAATGTCTCCCAACCTACCTGGTGTGGAGGACGCCTCACGGTAACATGTACACGGAGCTGTGGCGATAACAGACGTGACCTACATTTACAACAAACATGTCAAACCTGAACTGCCGGCAACAGAATGTATACACCAGCGATAACAGACGTGACCTACATTTACAACAAACATGTCAAACCTGAACTGCCGGCAACAGAATGTATACACCAGTAGTATAGGTAATGAGGGTTCTGCCGCAACTCCACTGGAGCCGGATTCATATACCTATACTGCTACTACAGGTGGCATTTTTTATGCGTAAATGTTGATGCGATTCAATGATAGTCATGAGATTAAGGTAAATTGACTCTAGCTCACCAATACCTGGGGCCAATCATTGCTTCAGATGAGCCTAAATGGTAATAAAAATATTCTTCATTATTTTTATCGATAAAGCGATATTCAACATTTTTATTAAGTTCTTCGTTCATTTTACTAGGAGACCAGACTATATAACTACACTCTTCTTGTAAATTGATAAGAAACAATTGATAACCGTATTTGGTTTGTTTGACATCACTGATATAATAAAAACCTTGTGGTAATTCTCTCCATTTAATAGTTTTTTCGATCTCCATTATTATATATATTTATGTAAGCATTTGTCTAAATGTGATCAAACGATAGTAAGCAATCTATTTTTAATCTCCAACCAGTTCTTTGGTTTTGGCACGGAATAATTGACGCGCTTGTTGCCTCCCCTGTTCTATGAACTTTTTTTCTCATCCTCGCTAATACCACTGGTCTTACGAGATTTTGATCGAATCTCCTGCTTCATTTTGTTGTATTTGGTGAGCTCCGACAGCACTAAACGAAAATCGTCCTCAGATATCTTACAATCGACCATTGATGTCGAAATATGATCCTCAATGCTGATCAACTTTGCTTCGGCGAGTATCCGAATACTATCGTGTTTTAATGCTTTCTTTTGTAACCTACGAGAAATGAATTTTATCGCTATTCCTGCCAGTCCCGAGACTCCAGCGGTTATTTCCATACCGAGCACGATAGGCGCGGCGATTATAGTTGATAATAAACCGAGACCCGCTACACCGAGTCCCATGCCAGCTGCTACAAGCGCGGTGTCAACTCCGTCCAGAGCATTCACGGCTCTGCGATACTTTTTATACAATCCAAGTCTCAACTCCCTATCCTTCTCTATTCGATGTTTTATGTCGCTTATTTGATGTAATCGAAATCCATCAACAGTTTCCATCTTTTCAATTGCTTCATCCAGCGCTGGATATAAACTCATAGTGAAAATTACGATCATATAATAGTCTTTAATTGGTCTTGCTTAAATGTTTTGAGACTATACATCAACCTTATCAAATGTATATTATACGGCAAGAATATCTTAGAAAGAGAAATACTACCACTTTTAATAATTTGAACCCCCTCGAGGGTTGCAACGGGCGCTGCTCCGATATGAATAATACTACAACGTCGACGCTCGTGTTTCTTGAGCCATTTAATCGATAGACCTGGTAATATTTCGAAGGCATCTTCCGGTACATCTCCGAACAAGACTTCAATAATAAGAGTAGAAATATTAGGTATTGCACTCAAGTTCTGTTTAATATCTTCGAATTCAGTAACCAAATTTAAAGTAACGTTTTTTAAGGCCGGACGACTATATAACATATGACCTGGGTTTTCTGGCAGGGGGGTGACTAACACACTTTTTCGTTTTGACGGGATATAAGCCGCGAGTACGATGCCACTATTTATTATCTTAGTTAAATTATGGCCCTTACCCATCATCACATAAGGTGGGGTAATGACGATATTCAGTAGCCACTCGATGTTTACGTCGACCATAGTCCATTTATTATCGTTGTTGCGAATAATATTGTATGAAGTGTTTTTAATGAGTCTACTAACGTCGACATCGCTTAAATCTTCTAGATTACCCGTGAATGTGACTTCTTTCCGCTTGTATACATTATCGTGTAAGTGTAAAGCGTATAACTTACCATTCCTACCGGGTTTATCGAATCCTTCTGTGTCTCCGAGATCGGAAAGCGCAATTGTATTACATTGTCTGAGCGTTCCAGGGCCTGATGCATCAACCATTATTTTTAATATGGAGTGTTACACTTAAGTATCCTATATGTACTGGTTGGTGTTTTACATCTAATACAGAAATTTTGAGGTCTGAAATAATACCACGCTTCAATTTTTTATATTGTAATGACGAGAAAGATTCCGTTCTACCGCTATTATATTTTTCATTTTTCACTGGAACACATCTGAGTAGAGTTGAAGGACTTTCTAGTTGAATATTATTTGTGGTGCTTATTTGATCAAGATGGATGAACAACTCTTTATAGGGAACTAAATCGGGTAATTTAACATCCAGATGTATGCCAATTAAGCGAGAAAAT